TTACCATGGAGACTGTACAGGTGAGAATCAATATCCTACCTGCATCCAGACTTGAAATATTGTCCATGACACAGGAGACAGGAAGTGCTGATATGAAGAATGGGTGACAAAGTAACAAATACCCATAATTCCTAGCATAATGCCCCTTACAACAATGCACAAACAGGACTCCTCTGTCGCTGGGCTAAAAATCCAAAATGATTAATAAGAAATTGATGTAAAAAAGATGCAATGATAACATAATTTCCCCAAAATTTCACACACCAAACCTAAATGTTTTGATTGATGAGAAACATAAATTGGAATGACATTTGCCTGAAACACAACAGAGTAGATCCTTTAGTCATCAATATGTATGATTTCAAAGAGAATCTGTTCATTTCATACTTTTTGTAATTTTCGAGAAATTATGTTATAGTCAATTTTAACATATCTCCCAGCACCAAACCAATGTCGTCCTAACACATACAAGGACAAACAGTGAGTACAACAATTATGGTGAGTATAAAAAATAATTGCATTACAATTTGGTGAGCAAAATAAAATCACAGATAAAGATAAATATGGAGAAAAAAGTGAGATTTGCATAGTAAAGTTACAGTTTTTTACACTGATATGCTTGAAAAGTGAAAAGATAATATATACATAAAAAGTGCCTGTTCAAATATTATTGAAGAATACAAAAGGCCATCTGACTATGTACATGAGAGTAGTGAGATCAGTTTTGACACCATGGAGAAAAATGCAAGTGATAAATAAGAGATATTTACAGGAATAAGGCTACAACAAAACAATTCTTCATTCTCAGACAATGGCAAACCAGCAAAACATCACGTAGGAATGCATTTTAACTAACGTTTTAGAAAAAATGAAAATTCTGATTCCTGGAAGTAAGCTATCGTCTGAGAACCAATATTGTTTCTTCTTGGCCCAAAATGTTAATGTTAATATAGTGTTCAACACTAGTGGGGGACCAACATCTGGTCTGTGATGGATTAAAATGTGAATGACCAAGTGTCAATGATAGCATTTCTTGTCAAACTGACTATAAAACAATTTTATAAATTGTTGCAAAAAAGCAAAGGGTAATACACTTACTGATGTACCATATTTGATGTAATAAGCGCCCTTCTCTAATAAGCGCCCAGGGCGATAGTTGCTAATATATTGGCTAGTGAACAATCCCAATTAGCACCTCTTCCGATTGATCAATGTACACAAGACTTATTTATTCGCGTATAATACCCACTTGTGTGTTATATGCACCCTTAATTATGGGCAATTAAATTCTGGAAAGATATATATGTCGTATATAAACATTTCAGGCTGTCAGCATAAACCATGAAATTTAAGTTTCAACTCTTTTTTTCCCACTAAAATAATATTCTAATAAGAGTCCCCTAATTCTAATTTTGAGAGCGCTCTGGACGCTTATTACATCGAATACGGTATTATACTGACAAGGCCCTAACAAAGCCAGAAAGTCAGTCATGATATGAGTGAACCTGTCATTACTTACATTGCAATAAACACACACTATGGTACAAAGTTCTAAAATGTCACACAGCCTCATAATTGTCGCTGAAAGACATCAAAACAATACTGACCTCATCTGAAGAATTAGTCAACTGTTGAAAAAATGTTCATATTCTACGTTCTCGGACACATGAGTGTGCAATAATTTCATCAGCCATTTATCATCTCCTCACAGTCGAAAAACATGTAGACCATTGACTTATGAATTCTTTTAACTATTTACCATGTTCCACAGGAGCTTCCGCCCAGAGAACAGAAGGTCTGGGGTTCACTCCCGGTCTGCGTCATATCAAAAGATGTTAAAAGATGGTACTTGTTACCCTATCTGGCGCTCGGCTTTTGGGGGCTAAAACAAGGACTGGTCGGCTCGGAGTCAGTATACTGTGTCTGAGTGGGGTATTCTTGTTAAACTGCGGCATGGTATCTCAGTGGGCTATCACTATAAGTCTGCATAAGTCTGGACTAGTACAAGCAGCCACACACACACATTTTATGTGCTGAACATTGAGCATGTGGTCCTGGTGATGCTTGCTTTGTTAGTGAATATCTTATAGGCATATAGCAGGGTGTTTATTTATGAGTATACATTTCTTGTTTTTTGAGAATAAAAGAAGCAGAAAACAATCAAAGATTTGAAATTTCTTCCTGTTGATTTATAAAAATTGAAGTGAAAAATATCTTCCAAAGTTGACAGACATGGGAGTAACTCTTGTCACTGTTATAGACAGGGATGCCCAGACAATCACATTAAAATGGATAGCTCTCAGTACTGCTAAACAAAGATCTGAGGACATACCATTACGACCTTTTACAAACTTTGACTGACCAATGAAATGATTAACAATAAGTCGACATTAGCCAATCGTAAAGCAGCTTTCTTGAGCTCTACGGCACTAGTTTGAAACTGGCGACTTCCATTCCAGACTACGCTTTGAAAAATATTTGGACAAAGTTGTTGATTCAAAATTTAAAAACTGAACTAAAGAACATTCTGTAATATAAAATAGATTGCCAGGATTGTAATGGCAATACTTTCCACAAGCTATGCAAAGTCATTTCTGATCAAATGACTATCAAATTGAAGTGAGAGCTAGTTGTACAGCCCATACTGTCATTCAGAATACCTGTCGACCTTTTCGAGGTTTGATGATCAGAAAATGCATTCCGACTGTCACTTTCCTGACCACTTTCGATGATCTTATTCGTCGGAGCAGGTGAAACATCGTTCGGATGTGACCTGAAATGGGATGTCCTCTGATCTTTGTTTAGCGGTAGCAAGAACTAAGATCTGATTTTGAAAAGATTGCGCCCTGACAGTGTTTGTATCTGGTCCTTGTATGTATTATAACCTGCAGACCATATTTTCTGACATACCTTTTAAAAATGACATTTTCGTCTTTTTATTTACAATTTCATTTCAATCACCTTCCGTTTTTAAAAAAAAAAAATTTATGTAAACTAAACAATAATTAAAAAAAAAATTGAAATAAAATTGCATGTTCATTAGTCATGTTCAGCCTTTGAAATATACTGTAAATCCTTGTACTTATCTACCATGAATCCCTCATCCATTGCATGTATCCATATTATAAGTTAGGGCAGACATGCATATATTGCCTATAACTTTCTCAAACTGACTATTAAAGGTCACAAATAGGAAGTTTTGTCGATGTGAAATACAAAAACAGATTTCCCATTTTCCAATCATGTATTCTATATCACCTTTTCCCAATCCCTCATTCATTGTTGTTGTCACATAAGGCAGAGGGTTAACGGAGGATTTACGGTATCTCTTCCTACAAAACATACAAACCACAAATAAATGAATTACTGTTAATGGAAAATACATGGAATGGAGTGTGTCAATATGAACACCAACAATAAACAAACTTGTCAACAAACAAACAGAATATAAAACAATATCAAAATAACATATTTGATGCAAGATGTGTTTGTTCATGTCAGCTGTTCTTGTTGTGTACACCCACTTGCACCTAAACCAAAACAAATTGAGAAAAAAAGATCTCACAAATGTATAACTCATATTCACAAATTACCTCCATCTCAATAAGGCCAGGCAAGGGCACCTTTAGTTAAGGAGCAATTTAATTGCTCAATGCCAAGATTAAATGTAAAATATTTGCAAATTATTTTTTTCTTAGAGTGTTCATAATTGCAAATGTTTTATTTTTTTTTAATAAACACTGATCTGTGTTCAATCCCGATTTTCTGTATATTCATGTTACTCTAGAAACGAAAACAACTACCGGCACCCTCCTACACAAGTTCAACATCAAGTACCGTATTCGCCGTAATAAGCGCCCAGGGCGCTCTCAAAAATAGAAATGGGGGGCTTTTAACAGAATGTTATTTTGGTGGAAAAAAAACAGCCTTGAAAGATAAATTTTGTGGTTTATGCTGACAGCCTGAAATGTTTATATACGACAGATATATTTTTCGAGAATTTAATTGCGTATTATACGCGAATAAATAAGTCTTTTGTACATTGATCAATCGGAAGGAGTGCTAATTGGGATTGTTCACCAGCAAATATATTAGGAAATATCGCCGTGGGACATTATTAGGGCAGGGCGCTTATTACGTCGAATACGGTATTTGTGATTAAGAAATGGGACATGGTCTCTTCTTGCAATGTTTTTACATAAAAAATGTCTTGTAAATCAATATTTGACTTTAACATTGACACCTCAAGGTCACCTGACTGAAATACACACCCAAAACCCATGCTGCGACCACCATCAACATCAGGCCACAGCAAGTTGATTGATGTTAACACAAATCACAGCTAGCTTACAAAATTACCTCCTAAAGGAGAGAAGCATCCCCATCAAGCTTTTCGAAAAAGCAAAAAATGACACTCCCTGAACCCAAAATGCCTGTCCATGAGAAATGCATCCTCAAACAGATACCTCCAGCACATCATATACATAAAGAGGAGCATTTTTGAATTTCAAAAACACAAAAAGTAGTTTTTTACTGAAAAATTGATTTGTAGTGGCCTTTGTTTTAAGCCATGGGTGATTTTCAGCCACGAGGACAGGCAGAACATACATTTGACTGAAGATGTCTGCCTTCTCTTGTGCCCATACAAAATGAACCTATTTCTGATACTGTTATGACCGCCTCCGTGGCCTAGTGGTAGAGCGTCTGCCGGGGAAATGGAAGGTCCTGGGTTCGATCCCAGCCATGTCAATACCAAAAGACGTTAAAAGATGGTACTTGTTGTTACCCTGTCTTGCGCCCGGCATTAAGGGGCTAAAAAAAGGACTGGTCGGCTCGGAGTCAGTATACTGTGTCTGAGTAGGGTATTCATGTTAAACTGCGGCATGGTATCTCAGTGGGCTTGCACTATAAATCGGCATCAGTCCGGACTAGTACAAACAGCCACACACACACACACACATGCATGCACGTCGCTATATAAGTGCAATAATCTTGGACACGACGTTAAACCCCATTTCACCTCACCTCACCTCTGATACTGTTACCGATGTCAGAAAACAGAAATATCCTGCGTTCCTATATGTTGTCAATATCAAAGACTATAATGTGAAAAATAGTGTATTGAATTTAATAAAGAGGTGTAGATTAATTTCATTTGTTGTAACACAATGATACAACTTGTAAACATGTGCGTCTAATATAGTCAGATTGATACCAAACAATTGCAATCCTAACACCACAATGTCAAACAATGTGCAGCACATATTGTGGACTACAAATAGGAATATTGCACTTTGAGGTTATTGAATCTGAAATAGGACTGGATAATAGTAAAAATAAAATGTGTATTTTGCCCAAACATTGCTTTCATTGTTCAATGGTATCATAGCAAATATGAGTGAAAAATGGAAACTATTAATGCTCCTTGTACAACTTGTACCATTGTTGTACATTTAATTCAATGAAAATTCTACTTTCACACTTGGAACTAGCTATTACCATCCCACTTCCAATGCCATTATGGGAGCTCATGTGCACTTTGCAAATAGTTCCGTGTCTCTGGTCTGATGAACATGACACGCATACAGCAGCATTTCAAGGATTCGTAACTTCGTATCCTCATGCAACTTCTAACCATAAATTTCCTTTCAAGGTAAAAATGCTTTGAAAAGTGAAAAGCTTTTCTTTATCTTGTGAAGCTTGATAAATTTATCACCTTTCAAAAATACTTGTGGTCTCTCGTGAACAGTTTCTCTTGTTCGTCTCTGCCTCCATGTCGTAAGCCATCGATTCCTGAAGCTGCTGGCCCAGCTAATCCTGCGGCTACTCTCCGGTCTACAAGCTTCTCTTGAGCCCAAGGGCAACATTAGAACACGGTAGCTGCTGGCTACTAGAACAGGATGGCCTGTTGACGGAACCCAGATCAAGCAAGCTATTCCTCACCCATAGTTAGAAGCTGTTGGATCTATAGGTGCTTTCAAGTGGTTGAGAACTCGAACAGGACTAAACTTGTCTCGAAGCCTTTTCTCAGGAGTAAAATTATTGTTCCTTTCGAATGTGAAATGACTATCGTTTGTGAGAACGGAATCTGGTGTTGCCAAAGCTGTCCTGTTGCTCTCGCTAGCTGTCTCAAAACCACACAAACTGTCCGTGGAAGAGTAACTCCACCGGTCCGCCTTGAAGAACTGGGGAGACATGTGGGGGGTTAGCTGGGTGATACAGGCACTTAGTTTAGCTTGAGCGTTAACTGTCGCTGGAACATAGCAGTCCATCGGATCATCTAAAGCGGTGTCAAAACTCCCGGATCTACTACTACGCTGTGATGGTGGTTCATCATCGTCACTAGATTCACCTTCCGTACAGTGATTGTCCTCAAAGGCATAGTTTGTGGCTTCGCCTTCAGACCCAGTGATCACTATTTGGGGCTTGGCTCCACTGGAAGCAGCAAACTCGGCCATGAACTGGTAAATGTAACGATATTCATCCTGTAAAAAACATAAAATATCTGAATAAAAGAGAGTCCTTGGTACAATTCCTTATAAGTTAAACATGTGTTTATGAGTTTATGAGTTTATGAGTTTATGAGTGAGTGAGTGAGTGAGTTTATGAGTGAGTGAGTTTATGAGTGAGTGAGTGTGTGTTTATGAGTGAGTGAGTTTATGAGTGAGTTTATGAGTGAGTGAGTGAGTGAGTGAGTGAGTGAGTTTATGAGTGAGGTTTTACAAATTTTACTGACTATTCTGTCCACTTATTTGACATACTGACAAAATATTAATAAGAAGTACCAAAAATAAAAACATATACATTGAGTTTTGTTTCTTTTAATCCTATCATTTTCAGCCACTGGGCAAAGAAATTGATCAGTTAAGCATATATTTTGGTCAGTAATAATTTGTGCTGTTTTGAAAGTTGACATTAGATGTGTATTAGCATGGTATGCTATATTATAGCGGTAGTTTATTTATAATGGATCGTAATGGCAAATGCATGGTAACCTATCAAATATGTCATTTGAAAAATGTTTCTTGTTCTTTGTTAAACTTTCATGACATATCAATTAGGATTGATCAATGCTGATTTTCTTCAGCAAGTTCGGCAAACAAAGTACCTGTCATTAGTGACTCAAGGGCAGGCAACTCTATATTATCACAGGTACCACTATTTTGTGGTGTGATACGTGTGGATAATGTTTTGGATTATACATAATCTGTATGCATATGCCCTAAGTTGGGTCAACGGACATTGTCCAAACAAATGGGTTCTTTTCTAACAAGTTTCAAATGAAAGTGGGGGTACTTCCACTAAAAAAACATTCCCGAAACTATCATAAATACGTTAACGTGTATACTTGCGAGTAGCCGTGACATACCGCAACGTGTCCTGTATTTGATCATGCGATGAAATATCATGCTTAGATTTGCAGGAGTAAACAGTCGACGGGGGTGTGGATTACTAGATTTATCGATACCACAATAATATAGAGCCTGTTTTAACATAGAGTCATTCTATACATACACTTTTTGTTATTGCATTCATCTTCAACTACTTTTGATAGGGATATTGTTTATATGTCCATGAGTCTCATAAGGCTAAAAAAAAAAGTCTTGGTTCTTAGGCACCGCCCACATCATCATAAAGTTTGCCGCACGTTTCGTTTTTATTTCAATTTTTTTTTTTAATATATACAAAATCCTTCAATATTCCAAGTCAGACTTATATTCCAGTATTTTACTCATCATGGAATACATTTATGTAGGGAGGCCCTTTCCCAGGTTGATTGTACACAATTGTTTTATTGATTACACAACTGTTTATTGGTTACATACTACTTTGAACAACCACAAAATAAAACAGACACCGCCCGCCCGCACTAAATTTTCAAAAACCATTGCCTGAGAACCAGTTCTTTTATTTTTTTAAGCCTAATATGTCAAATGTATATTTGAAAGAATGATATATCTGATTATCCCTATCAAAAGTTGAGTAGCACATTACTTAAAGAAACCAAAGCAAACAGCCCCATTGGCTCTGTAGGTAATATAACTCTATGGTATACAGAAAGTTATTGATCAAATGTCAAAGAATTTTAAACAAGATCTAAAATTCCATTTTCTAAACAAAACTTCTACTGTGGCAGCCACAGTTTCTCATTCCTATAAGCATGACTGCATGACACAACCCCTGGCTTCAGCCTAGTAAAGGTTCAGTGGCATAAATCAATATTTTTTCAGTGCAAAAGAGTTATAATTTACAGCCAAGAACCTGTGCATGATCTTCAGTGGAAAGGGGCCACGGGTGGCCCAGTCGTCTAAGGCCCTGCGATTCACTGTACAGAGTTGCGTCCATTGGGCACGCCAGAAACCTATGATTGTGGGTTCGAACCCAGGTTCGCCCCGATTATGTTTCTAGGTTTGTCAGCACCATACCCGTGCTCGTGGGTTTCACCGAAGTGGTAAACGTCTGAGGCCTGCATCACTTCGGGCTTTCCTCCTACATTAAGCTGACACGCCGTGATATAACTGTACTACTGTTAAAAAGCGACGCTAAACACAACTCACTCACTCACTCACTCTTCAGTGGAAACCTCTGCTTCAGATGATCTTCACAAGAACATACCTAGAACATACCTAGAACATACCTAGCATCTGTACTATGGTACGACATGAACAAAGATTATGTTTATACTTACAATATTTGGCACAAGTTGTGGTCTGTTTCGTTTGATGAGTCTCACAGCATTGAAGATGTCTACCTCGCCATCCGTTTTCAGCTGTTCTGAGCAGATGTTGATGCCACAGTAGATGCCAATCCGACAAGAACCATCTCTGTGGGAACAAGAGTACACACAAATAGTGATTAATTTACATTAGTCATTCTGATTTTACGAAATGAGTGTCAGATTCTTCTATTTCCTGAGCGAGTGTGAGGGTAATACAGGATTTCTTACACAAGTTTTGTAAAATCAGTATGACACACGTGTGAGTGTAATAATATTTCTTTATAACCTACAAGGGCAAACATATCAAGGTTCTATAAAAAAATGTGCCCTAGGCTCATTATCACGTCACGAGACAACAGTGTATTGTTTCTGTCACCGGGACGGCATTGTTGACATCATTCGAATCTTATTGTGACGTGAGGTCGGGAAGACGTCACACTAGAAATAGGTCATAGCTGAAGATTGTTGACGTCATTCGAGAAATTGTGGTTCCGCTTCTGTTGCGACTTGCTATCCTATAAGCAAACACTAAAATTTGTCTCTGTATGTAGGCATCTTCTTCGGTAATAAATATATTCGTGTTCATGTCATACTATGTTTACGACACTCGTGCCTAAATGCCGGTATTTATTTTAGATGCTGGAATTTAGACACTCGTGTTGTAAACATAGTATGACATGAACACTCATACAAAAACAGGCAAAACAGGGGCTTTATCATTCAATTTCCATGGGCTTTATCAAGCAATTTACAGGGTCTTTATACAGCAATTTACAGGGACTTTATCAAGCAATTTCCAGGAGCTTTATCAAGCAATTTACAGGGGCTTTATGAAGTAATTTCCAGGGGCTTTATCAAGCAATTTCCAGGGGCTTTATCAATCAATTTCCAGGGGCTTTATCAATCAATTTCCAGGGGCTTTATCAATCAATTTCCAGGGGCTTTATCAAGCAATTGACAGGGACTTTATCAAGCAATTACAGGGGCTTTATCAAGCAATTACAGGGGCTTTATCAAGCAAATTACAGGGGCTTTATCAAGCAATTACAGGGACTTTATCAAGCAATTTACAGGAGCTTTATACAGCAATTTACAGGGTCCTTATCAAACAATTTACAGGAACTTTATCAAGCAATTTACAGGGTCTTTATCATGTTACTCACAGTAGCTGTGTCATGTGATTAACAGTGAAATGTTAGTATCCAATGTGTCAGTCACTACAATGTGAAACTCTCAGGCTGCCTTCAGGGCATGTTATTGTCAGTCCCTTATATCTTTCACTCAGTATAGGTATTGTCCATTTATAACACAATTAAAACTCTTCAATTAATCATATACAGAATTTTCAAACTTTCAAAACATTTCTTCCTTCCACAAAACCAACAAATTAAATAATGACTAATACAAATGTTTATTAAAAGAAAGGGTCCTGATATAGGCGACCTACTTGGACATGACACAGATGGGGTTCAGGGGGTTGGTCTTCCTCTGCCACTGGTCAGCGCAGTGCATGACGTATGTGAGGGACTTGGCCGACACATGGATGTGGGATCGGCTGCTGCTGCCGGTAATCTGGAACATCTTCACCACCATGTCGTCACTAGAGGGCGCTTTACTTGTGCTCTGTCAATCACAAATATAATTTAAACCGAGAAAGATACACACACATTGATGGTTTTCAGACACTCTTTCTTACTTGTTTTTTTTTCAATTTTATCAAAAAAAGGGTCTTTTGAGCCTAAGTCCCCTTTGATTAAAGATGATTTGCTACGGTAGTCTTCCATCCCTGGGCCATTGTAGCCACTCAATCTCCATCTTGCTCAGCATCATGCTCAGATAAGCTTTTTGTTTGTTTGTTGTTTAACACAACACTTAGCAATATTCCAGCTATATAATGTTTGTTTCTTTGTTTGTTGTTTAATGCTGCACTCCACAATATTCCAGTTATATGACAGCGGTCTGTATTAATCGAGTCTGGACCAGACAATCCAGTGACTGATATCATGATCATCCCTCCTCGCAAGTGAGATACGATGACATGCATCAACCACGTCAGTGAGCTTGACCACACGATCCCGTTAGTTGCCTCTTATGACAAGCATAGTCGCCTTTTCCACAAGCATGGGTTGCTGAAGACCTATTCTAACCCGGTTCTTCAAGAGTTCCACCTATATGACAGCGGCCTGTAAATGGACCAAACAATCCAGTGATTGATATTCTGAAGAACATTCCACACTGTTGGGGTACGATGACACACAATCAACCAAGTAACTGTGTCTGACAAACCGAGCATTTGGTTGCCTGTTATGACCATCATAGGTTGGTGGGCATCAATCCTAACACCGAATCCTCATAGGAAATAGAGATGGAAAAGGAGGGGAGCATTCAATATTTGTGTCCTTTGGTGGTCGTAATATGTTTATCTTTGGTATGCTTTGTCATGCTTCAAACAATGGACAGTATGCACCCTGCACCCCTCTCCAGATCTGCTTCAAACAAAAGGGGCAGTACGCACCCTGCACCCCTCTCCAGATCTGCTTCAAACAAAAGGGGCAGTACGCGCCCTGCACCCCTCTCCACATCTGCTTCAAACAAAAGGGGCAGTACGCACCCTGCACCCCTCTCCACATCTGCTTCAAACAAAAGGGGTAGTACGCACCCTGCACCCCTCTCCACATCTGCTTCAAACAAAAGGGGCAGTACGCGCCCTGAACCCCTCTCCACATCTGCTTCAAACAAAAGGGGCAGTATGCACCTTGCACCCCTCTCCACATCTGCTTCAAACAAAAGGGGCAGTATGCACCCTGCACCCCTCTCCACATCTGCTTCAAACAAAAGGAGCAGTACGCACCCTCACCCCTCTCCAGATCTGCTTCAAACAAAAGGAGCAGTACGCACCCTCACCCCTCTCCAGATCTGCTTCAAACAAAAGGAGCAGTACGCACCCTCACCCCTCTCCAGATCTGCTTCAAACAAAAGGGGCAGTACACACCCTCACCCTTCTCGCGATCTGCTTCAAACAAAAGGGGCTGTACGCACCCTGCACCCGTCTCCAGATCTGCCTGAGAGCACATACATGCATGGAATCATCTCAACTGAAAAGCTATTATAACCTTGTATCTTCCATTGTGATGTGAGTGTGCTTACCTTGCGAATAGAGAAAGCTCTGATGACAATCTGTGTGTACCGCCCACATCCCAGGTACTTGACAGCTATTGGGCCATATTTACTTTCATCCTCCAGCTGCTTGGGCCAGAACCGAGGATATGACTGCATGGAGACAATAAACCACAACTTGACTCGGATAATGATAACAATAAATGCACTGAATATTTGCTACACCTATCCTACAATAGTATTGAGTCTGGCCAGGCAAATGATTACATGAGGGAAAACCATGTCATTGGTTAGTAGGGATGAACAGTGTCAAATTGGCCCCACTTGCACAGAGCTACTTCAATCACAATCACCATCAGGCCCTTACAATCAACTTTACAAATTCCATAACCTAATATTATTCTACTTGTACAAACTGATCAGATAGTGATTTTAAGATGGTTCAGACTGAAGATCACGATCTTAGCTATAAAGATTAAAAGCTTCAGTGGTGGAGGTCTTTACCAATAATCTCTCAGTCTCCGTCACAGGTAGAATTACTGGTACCTCCCTTGTAGCACTTGACAGACGATACATTGTTTCATTGGTCACACATTGGCATCCTCAATTAATCAGTTCCCATGACAACCAAGGCGCTGGGGATGGATTCCGGGGACCAAGATGGAGAGGACAAGGACTCTCCTGGTCCCTTCAATGTTTAGACAACAGTAGGTGCGGTTACCATGGTTACTGCATCCACTCATCCCTTCCTTGTTTAATATCAGGTTATGTATATGTTACTACGTGGTAGGGGGCGGTCGGGTAGCCTAGTGGTTAAAGCATTCGCTCGTCAAGCTGAAGACCCGGGTTCGATTCCCGACATGGGTACAATGTGTGAAGCCCATTTCTGGTGTCCCCTTCCGTTATATTGCTGGAATATTGCTAAAAGCGGGGAAAAACCATACTCACTCACTCACTACTACTGGGTGCTACAGATGGTCCAATGTGGGATACCTCTTGCAAACAGAAACTGCTTTGGGTTTTGGAAAACAAGATGGCAGCCCCCATGAAAACACAGTGGTTTTCATTCCAATTTTCCTAATTCAAATTTCACTTTCAATGAAATAGAGTATAAATAGGATAGGGATTAGAGAAGAGATTGGTATGTATATTTTAAAAATAGCTTATGATTTGTAGCCAATCTAGGATGTGTTGTAAACCCTACAGCTCACACTGACTGACTTTTCTAATCGGACGATCACCCCAGTAGTGACTTATGGAAAATCAGATACTAACTGATGAATGGACGTGGGAATACAGTAACAGCAGCTCAGACAGGGGCTGGAGTGTGGAGACTCACCCTAGAGAACTTGACATCGTTGAGGATGACGAGTGTGTTGATCTTGTAGTCATACAGCAACCTCCAGATGTCGTTCACGGTGTTCTTCTTGGGCCACTGTGTACAGAGGTAGGTGTTCTCCTGACTGTAGCCCTGGAACACAACACATCACACTTACTTCATGTACAACAGCATGAGGGGCGGTCGGGTAGCCTAGTGGTTAAAGCCTTCGCTCGTCACGCCGAACACCCGGGTTCGAATCCTGACATGGGTATAATGCTTGAAGCCCATTTCTGGTGTCCCCCACAGTGATATTGCTGAAATATTGCTATAAGCGGCGTAAAACCATACTCACTCACTCACTACAACAGCATGACTACCAAAGGGGATTCTGGGTTAGTACTGACCAAACAGATCAGGTGGTCACACTCAGAGACTTAGCTGACCATAAGGTAATCTCAATCACTGGATTGTCCAGACCAGACTCGATTATTTACAGGCTGGCGTCAAATACCTGGAATATTGCTGTGTGCGGAGTTAAACAACAAACAACAAACAAATAAGCAAAGCATGAAATATGCATTGCTGTATTTTGATTAAAATTCGTGCATTCAAACCTCTCATGTTACTGCTGACTCATTTATCACTGCATACATACGTCCCGTGAAGATCTGGGTTACAAAAGGTCTTCAGTCACCCATGCTTGCTGTAACAGGCAACTATGCTTGTCAGGGGTGGGTGGGTGGATGTTGGGTTATTGAACAAAAGGACACAGTGTCATTTTTTCAAATAAATAACTTAAACATTACATGCATTTTTTTTGGGGGGGGGGGGGTACATAAAATGGGGGGTTCAGCCGCCAAATATGTCAAATATCTTTCCCACCCCATCTATCCTGCCCATAATACATAGAGTTACAGAGGCAGCCTATTTTTACACTATGGAGTTGTAAGGCTGGAGCGAGATCCAGATCAATGTCTTGCTTCACAGGAATGTACCATGAGATGCATGGTGGGTCTTGCTGAAACACATCGCGGCCTGTCATGGACAACCATACCTGCTGATACACACATCTGTGATCTTCACCAAACATCATGGAGAATGTGTTTTGTCAGTAATTGAAAACAGTATGTGGCAACATGAAAGTTATTTACGGTTTAGACATTGCTCCAGACTTAATTATCCTCAGTAACGTGTCTCATTTGTATACAGCAGTATGTTTGTGTGATCAACACGAAAGTTACATTGAATCAGTTATGGGAATCCAATGAGCGTCAACCTGGGACAGGAATGTAATCAATTTTTAATTTCCTTCCAACAGGACATTTCAGAAAGAAATTCAAGTCAAATAATCATACCTCCCCAACGGCTGTATTTGTACAAGTTTCTATGAACACTTTAATATTCATTCTTGTAAGCAGACCACATCCTAACAATCTCATTGTCCGAAACTCACAAAGACTTGTGTTGGACATTACTCTGTACAATACGCACATCACCTACACACCTCTGAGACACTATATTCAGCAAGATGGAGTAGGGGCATACAAATGTGTATGAGAGGGAAGAATGTTGCAGTCATACAATGGGAAGTCAATTGGGATGTGAAGCGCTAATTACAAATTCTGTTTTTAAATTGCCCACGTTTCTCCTGTGCAAATAGATATATTATACCAATATTGATAAGACAAGTCATAAATATGGTGTACAATGTGTGTTTACATATTTCAGCTACATGTACTAATGTTTGAGTGATTCATTAATAATGTCCTATTTATCTTACTACATGTATATACTATACATCTAGCAGAAACCTCAAAATGTTATTGGGAAGTTGTCCAGAAAATGTTTCAGACAGGATATGTCATTGGAAAGTTTATAAGTCAATGTTTCAGTTAGGATATGTTATTGGAAAGTTTATTTGTCAATGTTTCAGAGGGGATATGACATTGGAAAGTTTATCAGTCAATGTTTCAGACAGGATATGTTATTTGAAAGTTTATCAGTCAATGTTTCAGAGGGGATATGTCATTGGAAAGTTTATTAGTCAATGTTTCAGAGGGGATATGTCATTGGAAAGTTTATTAGTCAATGTTTCAGAGGGGATATGTCATTGGAAAGTTTATTAGTCAATGTTTCTGAGGGGATATGTCATTGGAAAGTTTACCAGTCAATGTTTCAGACAGGATATGTTATTGGAAAGTTTATCAGTCGAAGTTTAAGATAGGATATAATATTGGAAAGTTAATTAGTCAATGTTTCAGGGTGTGTGTCAGTCAATGTTTCAGAGGGGTGTGTCACTGGAAAGTTTATCAGTCAGTGTTTCAGAGGTTTGGGGGGGGGGGGGGGGTGTCATTGTAAAGTTTATTAGTCACTGTTTCAGAGGGGATATGTTATTGGGAAGTTTATCAGTCATTGTTTCAGAGGAGATATGTTATTTGGGAGTTTATCAGTCATTGTTTCAGAGGAGATATGTTATTTGGGAGTTTATCAGTCAATGTTTCAGAGGAGATATGTTATTTGGGAGTTTATCAGTCATTGTTTCAGAGGAGATATGTTATTTGGGAGTTTATCAGTCAATGTTTCAGAGGAGATATGTTATTTGGGAGTTTATCAGTCATTGTTTCAGAGGAGATATGTTATTTGGGAGTTTATCAGTCAATGTTTCAGAGGAGATATGTTATTTGGGAGTATATCAGTCATTGTTTCAGAGGAGATATGTTATTTGGGAGTTTATCAGTCATTGTTTCAGAGGAGATATGTTATTTGGGAGTTTATCAGTCAATGTTTCAGAGGAGATATGTTATTTGGGAGTTTATCAGTCATTGTTTCAGAGGAGATATGTTATTTGGGAGTTTATCAGTCAATGTTTCAGAGGAGATATGTTATTTGGGAGTTTATCAGTCATTGTTTCAGAGGAGATATGTTATTTGGGAGTTTATCAGTCAATGTTTCAGAGGAGATATGTTATTTGGGAGTTTATCAGTCAATGTTTCAGAGGAGATATGTTATTTGGGAGTTTATCAGTCAATGTTTCAGAGGAGATATGCCATAGGGAAGTTTATCAACCAATGTTTCAGAGTGGGTCTATCTGCCAATGTTTCTGAGTGGATATGTTGTTGGGGAGTTTATTTATAACCGACAAAAAAAGAATAACTATGACGAAGAATATAAACATATAAAATAAATAACACTGACTGAGTGAGTGAGTATGGTTTTACGCCGCTTTTAGCAATATTCCAGCAATATCACGGCGGGGGACACCAGAAATGGGCTTCACACATTGTACCCATGTCGGGAATCGAACCCGGGTCTTCTGCGTGACGAGTGAACGCTTTAACCACTAGGCTACCCGACCGCCCCTAAAAATAAATAATAAGCTTTATGGGCTGATCAACACAACAAAAGCCTTTCCATGACAGACCAAGGTAGTTGCTGGTTTAATCCTATTGGGATCCAAGGAAAGTCACAAACTCAACCGTTCCTTACCATTCACCCTGCTGCACATCCATCATGGGGGATGACATCATAATAAGAATTTTATGAGTATTAAAAGTATCAAGTTAAAATTCCTTAGAGAGTCTTTGGGGTTTTTCCTTAACCCAATTAAACATCCATGTTACAGGTGGCCCAGTTGTGTAAGGTGTCGCAATTAGCTGTACAGTGTTGTATCCCTTGGGGATGCCAGAAGCCTATGATTGGGGTTTGGAATCCCGGTTTCCCCTAATTATGTTTCTCAGCTTGTCAGCACCATAACCAGTCGTGTGTTTCACCAAAGTGTTATAAATCGGAGACCTGTATCACTTTGGGCTTTCCTTTCACATTAAGTAGACATTCCATGATACAACTGGGCGACAATTAAAAGTGGCTTTTAACCCAATTCACTCACTCACTCACTCACTCACTCACTCACTCACTCACTCACTCACTCACTCAATTAAGAAAAGAGAAATTTTAGATCACAACAAAATACATAAGAACTTATTGACAGTTGTTTTTAATTATTACTTACATCAACATACACTGCATTGATGAAGTCTGTACCACTGTCTCCTGAGTCATTTGTCATCAGGTAGGGTCGGGCTCGCTCAGCTGAAGAGAGAGTGAGAAACATTCCAATAACTCACGGCAACACATTCAAGATGCAGATTCAGATCTGACCACTGGAGGCTGTCAGTGTCCTCAGCCTCTTCATGGTTATCAAACCCGACAAAGAGTCTGGAAGACAATGGATTTTCCTGCACACATCAACAGTACAATATCTTGGATAAACATACCTCACAAAACAAACGATGTACTGAAGAGCCATTGTAGTTCCCAGTGCTTTTGTATACAAGTCGTTTGTTTGTTTGTTTGTTTTGTTGTTAAACGCCACACTCAGCAATATTCCAGCTATATGACGGCTGTCTGTAAATAATCGAGTCTGGACCACACAATCCAGTGATTGACATCATAAGCATCGATCTACGCAATTTTGATATGATGACATCAAAAAAACCAAGTCAGCGAGCCTAACCACCCGATCCCGTTAGTTGCCTCTTACGACAAGCATTGTCGACTATTACGGTAAGCACAGGTTGCTGAAGACCTATTCTACCCCAGATCTTCACGGGCCTCAAGTCGTTTGTGAAATTGCTGCTCATTGACTACCTCTAGGATCCATATTAACATGATTAAGATACATATCTATATTCTAAATGATATAATTTAACTGTCTTTATGAACAAAAATGAAAAAAGAAGGCTGTTGTCGTGTAATCTCTCCTTTTCTACTGTATCGGAGCAGTGGGGTAGACAAGTCATCCCAAAGACTCCGGTTCAATTCATGAGTCAATGTTTGAAGCCCATTTCTGATGTCCCCCACCGTGATATTGTTGGAATATTGCTAAAAGTGGGTAAAAGCATATTCACTCACTAATGACACACTGTAATATGCAGGCTAGGCGTGATGGGATTCATGTTAACAGGTTTAGGATGAAAGCACTTATCATACATTATATTCAATTTCTTCGAGAGCATTTACCACTTATCCAAAAATAATTTACCCCTGGTAGACGATATCATAGAACTAGATTACATGAAAAGTGACTAACCTAGGGAATACTCCTGTGCTACTAACATACTTGAGGTTGTAGCAAGATCACAAGGGGTACATGATTTAATAAAACCTAACCAGGGACGCATAAAACTCCATGTACCCCTTGTGATCCTGCTACAACAAATTTATCTTACTGACATATCTGAACATGACACTGTAAAAGAATAAAAACAATTTCTTCAAAATTGAGAGAAAACAGCTATTTGATACAGCTGAGATTAACTTGCTATGTCATGTGACTATCACTGAATCAGAAGAAGCATGTAGTTTTTTGCTTCGAATTAGGGTATAAGGGATGTATCTGAAAAGAAATCCATGTGCTGCCTGTTTTCTCCATGGTGGGGTATAAGGGATTTATTCTCCCACTGAGAAATTTATTTCCCTCCTAGGCGGGATACATAATATTTTATGAAGATCACGTGAACCAATCAGATCTCATCATTCTGACTTGTAGGTATGATAATATAGTTTGTTAAAAATCTGTGATGAATTTACTTTTTGTACATCATTCTTGGCAGAAATCATCATTTATGAGTCTCACTGATACGGTTCCCACTTAAAGAAGAGTACTCCTAGGTCTTAAAAGGGATTCTCATAGTTTTTATATTACTAAACTCAGCATGAAAGCATATTCATTCATGAAACAAAGGTTAGTAATCATTATCTGCATTTATGGTTTGAATATAAAAAAAATGGTTATCATTTGAAATCATTCTTAGAATCCTACCTCTATTACATCTTTGACATAATCCTGTATCTTGTCCATAATCACATGATAAGTAAACCTTCCGATGTTCCATAGGAGTCCTCTTCACTGTCAACTATGCATGAGTAGTTGTACCCATAGTAGCACATAGTTGCCTACAGCTCACGCAAGTGCAAGGCAGGAAGAAACTGTCCTATCCAATACCTGCTAACTAGATGTAGATAATTGGGGAGGTGGGAGGGAGTACTTCTGATGTAATAGCGGTAGTATTCTGAGAATTTTTAACAATGATAACCATTGTTTTTGCATGACTGTTTTGAATATTTTAATTATTCATCAAACACCTGATAACAGACAAAATAAGCCCTATGTTCCTACACTCAATGTTTCAGCATCTACACAAAACATTCAGAAACAATAAATAATGTTACAAAATTCATGTTCTTGTTTATGATGAAAAACACAATGATCTAAGCGAATACGTCAGTACATTTACAGACCATCCTGATGTCAAGCAGTAATGAAATGCTGAGGACGGTGTTAAATAACAAGAAAAGTAAATACAATTATAATTAGTCCAGGACAATAATGTACAAACATAGTAACTCATTACCTTCACATCTAAGGTCAAATAATGCATCTTTGTCCCTGTGTACTGGGTTAACTTACAACTTCCTCATGGATTAAACTTCCAATTATCTACAAGGACATCAAAACATATTCACTCTGGTCACCAACATAGGTTTGTTCAGTAGAGAATCAATTTGATTTGAGAAATCAATAAATTCAGGGACATCTCATAGAATTAATAGAAAATGAACTGACAAACAATGCCACATCTCATCACGAATGCCTAGAAGCTAAACCTCAAGGGGCCTGCCATATACAACATCTCTGGGCTTTTGCGTGATGCTTTGAGTCTTATCAGTATTATAATCTCTCATAAGCCCTTGGACAGAGCCAAGTGCACTGGTTGCACAAGAAACAAACTTGGCCAAATCATATGGCTTCTCAAGCTGATAAACCAATTAAATCTATGGACATGACATTTGTTGATTAACTTGTAGCAAAGGATTACTTTCCCAATGAAACATGGAATTGGTAAAACTCTTTGGAAACTTTTTAATGGAATTCAATGTTTGTCCTTCGGCCATGCAGCAATTAGTTTTGTGGATTTAAGTTTTTACGACATAACACTTCTTATTTTGACAGTTTTATCAATATTTTGATTCATCTGCACTGAAAAAATACTTTAACTTGATATGATTAAATACATAAGTTTAACTTCAGAATTTGTTAACTATGCAGAATGTATAATAATAAACAAACCGCTGGCCTTTTCTCAGTGCAAGGTGGAAGCAAGGCCATATATAGATCTGTACATCTTTGGTTGATTTAACCTTACTCAAGTTGTAGTTACCATGACATCCAAAGGTGTACAATAAATAACTGAACCCATGAAGGTACAGCAAAACATTGAGGGCGGAGGCCGATCTTCAAGTACTATCTCTAGTTCTAGAGGTTGAGGAAAGCTACTCCTATTTCCAAACGCTGAGGAAAGTAAGCCCTATTTCCAAACGCTGAGGAAAGTTGGCCCTATTTCTAAAGGTTGAGGAAAGTTAGCCCTATTTCTAAAGGTTGAGGAAAGCTACTCCTACTTCTAAGGGTTGATGAAAGTAAGCCCTATTTCCAAACGCGGAGGAAAGCTACTCCTACTTCTAAAGGTTGATGAAAGTTAGCCCTATTTCCAAACGCTGAGGAAAGTTAGCCCTATTTCTAAAGGTTGAGGAAAGTTAATCCTATTTCTAAAGAGTCAACAATCAAGCAGTTACTTACACATAATGCATTTTGAAAGTGGTCAAATGTAACAAATGTTATATATCGGATAACCACTTTCTAAATGGCCTTGTGTGTCGGCCAAGGAAGCCATGCCAATAACACTTGTCAGAGGGGTACATAAAGTATGTTATCTAGACTACCAGACTTTCATTTTTGCGGAAGCCTCGGTGGCTGAGCGGATTAGATTGCTGACTTTAAGTGCAGGTGATCAGGTGCCTCACTCTGGCAGTGGGGGTTCGAATCCTGGGTGGGACTCAACCAAAACAGTACTAAAATCTGTACTTTACTAAGAAAGTATTATCCCAAATAAAACATTTGCTACATGACGGTTATTGTCAATGAAACAACTAGGGTCACATTAATTGCCTAATATCAAAAGAAATTTGTAGAAATTATGAATAACGCCCAGCTAGAATTAGACACTTCCACACGATCAGCATGTTGGCATCTGTCTGCTGAGATACCTCCATTTAAAATTTTCAGTGATAGGAACATGTGGCTAATAGGATCAATTACTGGTACACAGATGAAATGTGCACCAGGGTATACCACGGGCTGCCATGGAACTAACTTCCCAATGAGACCAGGATGTTCGCATGTTATGCAGACTGTACAAAGGTCTTGTGCTAGGTGTTAAAGTTACATGGCATTGTACCAATGGAAATATTGACCTGACCCTGGTGATTGCTGATCACTTGTGTTGTGTTTTTTCAGAGGTTAAAAATATCCATTATCAGACACACTCTATCATCACCAGCACTGGTCCATGATTCACTGATCTGCGTATGTCTAGGACTGACCGATACACTCCAGTCACAACATAAGATAAGATAAGAAAAGACTTGACTTTATCATCCCAAGGGAAATTCATATTGCACAGTTGATTAGCACTAAAATATGAAAACACAAAATATGTACCACAATTCTTAGTTATACTATACTATTCCTGAATAAAAGTGTGTAAATATTTTCAAATATATATAAAACAGAAGAAAATATAAACTGTGTCTTGTACCAAAATTAGTTTTTAATGGCATCAGTTCATGTCATAATAATGCAATATAAAACATGATCAGACTGAATAATAGACTAAAATCAAAATCAGTGTCAATTTGAAGGCTTTCCAATGTCCAAATAATTAAACATTTAATAAAAGAATATGTATCATTGATAATAATATTGCAGCATGTTGATGCATCAGTGATACCTTTCAGAGCAGTTGGATAGCTTTGTGGTAAAATATTGCGAAGAGCAGCACAAAACCACCCTCACTCACTCATTCCTTCAGTCTCTGTCTGTATGTCGCCATTGTATCAGTAAGAATAAACTTTTCTTAACAGACAGGACATAATTTGATTTTCATTACACTCAAGTGCCCATCCATCTGAGAATATAGCTTTACCCGCCATTGTGTCCCGCCATTGTGTCCCGCCAATCCTCATTTTAGTCTTCTCTTATAGGGACAGTATGTCGAGAGTTCTGTGTGTATTTTAAATCATGCATGAAATAATTTCATAGTGTGACGTCACCCCTTTAGCTCATGCACGATTCAATTCTCATTTTAAATCAACAGAGCTCCGCACAGCGAAGCAGACGACCCAAGTGCTGTGCAGAATATCTCGCTTCAGTCATGTTTTCATGTCATGCAAATTGAAGAGAAAGTCGTGATTTTTTCATATGGAAGAGTTACATAATACTAATTGCCAGCTTATTTGGGTTAGAAGCCAGTGATTACAATATACAACCCTCGGTCGTTTGAAGCCATGGAATCACTCTCCTTCCCAGTGTTCCTTGCCGCCTGCCTTATAATTCCCCCTGCCACATCACACATCTTACACAGTTCATTCAAGATATAGTAGGGGGCACGGGTGGCCCAGTCGTCTAAGGCGCCGCGATTCGCTGTGCTGAGTTGCGTCCCATGGGCACTGCAGAAACGTATGATTGTGGGTTCGAATCCCGGTTATGTTTCTAGGTTTGTCAGCACCATACCCGTGCTCGTGAGTTTCACCGAAGTGGTAAAAGTCTGAGACCTGCATCACTTCGGGCTTTCCTCCCACATTAAGCTGACACGCCATGATATAACTGGAATACTGTTAAAAGTGGCGCTAAACCCAAATCACTCACTCACTCAAGATATAGTATGTGTTTCATCTACACATGTAGATAAATGTATGTCATGAAATGTTTAACTTTCATTGAGAAATATCCTGAAAGTTATTTCCCTTTGTGTATTTATCCTCTGCTTATATTGGTTGTACGGCTCCACATGATGCCATCAAAGACCTACGGAGAGCTAACGATACGGTCACTTTGATGAATAAAATATATCGTCAGGCACCTAACTGTCACTGTTGCAGTAGCATATCTACATAATTATGCAAAACAGTATGTAAAGCGCAGCGAAAGGCTTGCTTTGGGTCCGTCTGTTCCTATTTCAGAATAAGTGTGTTTGCTTACAAACAAGAGAAAAGTCCGGTCACATGATAAGCCGACAAGCAGAAACTCCTCTCGTGGAATAATGCGAGCAGAACTGAGTAAGTTTGGGGCTAATAGACTTATGTTTACAAACAAAGCTTCAGAACGGTTGACATACTGGCCTTTTAATGAAAGAAAATGGAACTCAGGATTCTAAACATTTGAGTAATGTCTTGGTTTTGCTTGTATACATGTAAATAAATGAGTCAGTGAATGTCGTTTGACATAGCAAGTAGCAATATTCCATCATTGTCATGATGGCCCTAAATAGCTGAGTTTGGACCAGACAAACTAGGGACTGAAAGCATGAGCAACAATCAAGACGACATAGGAACAATAAAATCTGGTCCAGAGCCTGACAAGCTGATCCCCCACTAAAGTCAGCTCTCTCGACAAGCATGAGGTACCTTTCAAATGATTACGAGTTAGCATCCCTGTGATTGACATCTACCTAAGGCAAGGGCGTTAACTTGCCATAAAAGCCAAATTTCCAACCTTGCCAAACTAGGCTGGAATTTCCAGGCTCGATTGTAGTGCCCCCAGTGTCACTCTATTCTATGTCCCTCCTATGTCCTATTGACTAATCAGATTCCACCTCTGATATCACTTGCATTTGTTTCAAACAATATGGTGGTGCCCAGTCAAGATGATTTGATCGATAATCAGGATCTATATTGTAATAACATGAGTTTTACCTTGAGATGTGCATCAAATCACTTGAGCACCTTGATTAAAAACATTTTTTGGGGGGCAAAATACCTTTTAAAGCCCAGTTGGTGGTACACATGCTTAGCAAATCCTGCAGTCTATCAAAATCTGCACTTTGAAGTCCATGTTGTTTACGAACTGGACATCTAATTCGCAATGCGATTTTGATTGGATTATGCATAGACTCGTTAGTCCAGCCAAAACGTAACTTCAGAATTCCAGCCTAGTTCGGCAAGGGTGGAAACTAGACTTTTATAGTCAGTTAACCTCTTTGCCTAAGGAAGATGTTTTAATTGACAGACATGCGTGTTCAGGTTGAATAAATCTCTCCATGATTAAATAGCAATTGCTTGCAGAACTTAGTGATGCATATTCCTAGAACATACTGCTCCAATTAAACTGTAGACCAGCACTGGAAGATCAAAGAGAGCTGATAATAACACCTGTGATTACAGGTAAAGAGGATGTGGAATGGGTTGAAGGTACTCACGAGGCAGCATCATGATGTCCCGGCTCTTACTGCGGTTCTCCACACGATGTCCACTGGCACAGTCCCCAATACTCAGCCGAGGAACAACCGTGTGTAATGTCTGTAAATTGTATCACTTGAAATTGTTATATATTGTGGACTTTAACACACAGTTTGTTTGTTTATTTGTTCTTTAACAACGCACTCAGCAATTTTCCAGCCATATGACGGCAGTCTGTAAATAATCGAGTCTGGACCACACAATCCAGTGATTAGTATCATGAGCATCGATCCACACAATTGGGATCGATGACATGCATCAACCAAGTCAGCGAGCCTGACCACTTGATCTCGTTAGTCACCTCTTACGGCAAGCATGGGTTCCTGAAGACCTCTTCTACCCCGGATCATCACGGGTGTAATACACACTGAATGTCATGAAAGAGACCCATACAACCCAAGTTTACTTCCTTTCTTACCATCCCCATAATGCCAAGTGTCAAAAGCATTGCATAAATTTGATAAACTCTTTTCTGTGGCTCTTATTTTGGTGGTCATGAATCCCTTCATAATGAGTGAGTTTGTTATAACGCTATTTGTACAGTGTTCCAGTTATATCATGGCGTGTCAGTTTAATGTGGGAGGAAAGCCAAAAGTGACACAGGTCACAGACATTAACCGGTTTGGTGAAACCCACGAGCACGGGTATGGTGCTGACAAACCTAGAAACATAATCAGGGTAAAAGTGATTTGAACCCATGACTATAGGTTTCTGCCCAAGGGACATAACTCTGTACAGTGAATTGCCACCCCTTAGATGACTGAGTCACCCATGTCACTCCTTCAGAGTGAGTGAGTTAAAGTTTAACGTCACATCGGCAATACACCCTTTCAGAAAGAAGAGCAGGATACCATTATTTGTTCTGATGATTTCCCATAATGAACCTTTTTATCAATGACTGAAGACTGCCATTATAAGAAACACTACCTTCACAATGACAGTTTAACATAGACGGAATAACACTGTCATGTAATCGAGTACTGAACGTTCATAAAAGAATTAATGCACTGGTCAGAAGATATTCATACTGAGCAAAGAAAGACTCTAGATTAGGCATCTTTTGATGCGCAGTGATGATGTCAACAGTCCTGTACCTGGAACTCTCTGTCCAGCTTCTGTTGTTTGGGTTCAGCATTCTTGCTGTAGTACCTGAGATACGTGGCTGGCAGGAGTGTAGCTGGGCACACAGTCCAGCCAGTCTGTAAGTACATGGCCATAGTGTCGTAGATGAGGCGGTACTGGCCCTGTAAAACATAACCAGATCATATCAGTCTCCGACATAGGTAGCTGGCAGGAGTGTAGCAGGGCACACTGTCCAGTCAGTCTGTAAGTACATGGCCATAGTGTCGTAGATGAGGCGGTACTGGCCCTGTAAAGAACATAACCAGATCATATCAGTCTCCGACATAGGTAGCTGGCAGGAGCGTAGCTGGGCACACTGTCCAGCCAGTCTGTAAGTACATGGCCACAGTGTCGTAGATGAGGCAGTACTGGCCCTGTAAAGAACATATCCAGATCATATCAGTCTCCGACATAGGTAGCTGTCTGTCCAGTCTGTAGATACTGAGGTGATACTGAATGCTGTTTCGCAATCTATTGAATGAACATGTTTTACAACATTCATAAGAATGGATGATAAGATCAAGGTACTGGACTTCCAAAATACACATCAACTGGGAGTAACCATAGCAACAAAAGAACTAACATGTAACAAATGTTGTACTGTAAATCGTGAAATTAATGCATCTCCAAAAGAATGAGTCCGTTGGCCCCTAGCCCAAAATGCGCCTCAATATGAATGCGACATCCCCCTCCTCTCAAGCATTAGTGGATTTATATCTAAAGAAAATGTCCTCTGTCAGGTTTACAGGAGAATCCTCACCTGATACCAACCTTACATCAATCCAATCACACACCAAATAGCACCGCTTATTAGCGCTGAGTAGAGTACTTCCGCTGAAACAATACATGTGCCCCGGCTGGTGTCGGCCTTTGAAGCAGTAATGTGAAGCAGGATGTAATTAGTGTTTGAATGATATTGTTTATATACTTGTTACAAGTGCTGCTCAATAAACTGTGATGTGGAATACATAGTTGTTTGTTTTCAGCGTATGTCTAAGTCGGTATTTCTGCTATCCAAAATGTCTTATTGTTGCTATAAATGCAATGTTAAATAATGCGAGCAAAGACCAATCGCATTTTTCGCATTTAATTCACACTTGCATTAATTTCAAGATTTACAGTATTTGGGATAATACTTTCTTAGTAAAGTACAGATTCTCGTACTTTTTGGGGGGTTGAGTACCACCGAGTGCTTGAACCCACACTGCCAGCGTGAGGCACCTAATAGCCAGCACACAATTGGCCAGTTACATTTGACCACTTTCTATGGCATTGTGCATTCAAAAGAACTGACAATCAAGGGTTACATCTCAAAACATTTAACACCTTCCCTTAGAATGACCAATTTCTTAAACTGCTATGGTCTGTGGCACCTTTCGAATACTAGTATATACAAGCACATTTCAAGAGAGATCTCCTGTCTGACATATATCAGCTTCAACAAAACAGAATCCTCTGGATCTTTCGTTATCCCTTTCAGAACAAGTTAACTGCCATGGAAGTTCAAACAGAGCTTGTATTTGTGTTGGGGTTGATAGATGCCTATGTCAGTGTCTTGGCAAACTCAGCTGGTCCTTGTGACTATATAGAAAGCTACCTCAAACTGTGCTCATAGTCCACAAGCTTACCAGTGTCCTGACCATATTTTTGCGGAAGCGCCGTAGGTGCAGCACACAGCTGTAGATGTCTACTCTCTCCTCAGCCTCGATCTGCTTCAGACAGTAGTCAACAGCAATGAACACTGCTGTCCTGCCACCTCCACACCTGCAACAACAACAGCAACATCAACATTAACATCAGCGCTTCAGAGAATAGTCAACAGCAATGAACACTGCTGTCCTGTCACCTCCACACCTGCAACAGCAACAGCAACATCAACGCTTCAGAGAGCAGTCAACATCAATGAACACTGCTGTCCTGCCACCTCCACACCTGCAACAGCAACATCATCATCAACATCAGCGCTTCAGAGAATAGTCAACAGCAATGAACACTGCTGTCCTGTCACCTCCACACCTGCAACAGCATCATCAACATCAACATCAGCGCTTCAGGGAGCAGTCAACAGCAATAAACACTGCTGTCCTGTCACCTCCACACCTGCAACAGCAACATCAACATCTACATCAGCGCTTCAGAGAGCAGTCAACAGCAATGAACACTGCTGTCCTTTCACCTCTGCACCTGCAACATCAACATCAACATCAACATCAACATCAGCGCTTCAGAGAGCAGTCAACAGCAATGAACACTGCTGTCCTGCCGACTCCACACCTGCAACATCAACATCAACATCAGCGCTTCAGAGAATAGTCAACAGCAATGAACACTGCTGTCCTGTCACCTCCACACCTGCAACATCAACATCAACATCAGCACTTCAGAGAATAGTCAACAGCAATGAACACTGCTGTCCTGCCACCTCCACACCTGTAACAGCAACATCAACATCAACATCAGCGCTTCAGAGAGTAGTCAACACCAATGAACACTGCTGTCCTGCCACCTCCACACCTGCAACATCAACATCAACATCAACATCAGCGCTTCAGAGAGCAGTCAACAGCAATAAACACTGCTGTCCTGCCACCTCCACACCTGCAACAGCAACATCAACATCAACATCAGCGCTTCAGAGAATAGTCAACAGCAATGAACACTGCTGTCCTGCCACCTCCACACCTGCAACATCAACATCAACATCAGCGCTTCAGAGAATAGTCAACAGCAATGAACACTGCTGTCCTGTCACCTCCACACCTGCAACATCAACATCAACATCAGCACTTCAGAGAATAGTCAACAGCAATGAACACTGCTGTCCTGCCACCTCCACACCTGTAACAGCAACATCAACATCAACATCAGCGCTTCAGAGAGTAGTCAACACCAATGAACACTGCTGTCCTGCCACCTCCACACCTGCAACATCAACATCAACATCAACATCAGCGCTTCAGAGAGCAGTCAACAGCAATAAACACTGCTGTCCTGCCACCTCCACACCTGCAACAGCAACATCAACATCAACATCAGCGCTTCAGAGAATAGTCAACAGCAATGAACACTGCTGTCCTGCCACCTCCACACCTGCAACATCAACATCAACATCAGCGCTTCAGAGAGCAGTCAACAGCAATGAACACTGCTGTCCTGCCACCTCCACACCTGCAACAGCAACAGCAACATCAACATCAGCGCTTCAGAGAGCAGTCAACAGCAAAAAACACTGCTGTCCTGCCACCTCCACACCTGCAACAACAACATCATCATCAACATCAACATCAGCGCTTCAGGGAGCAGTCAACAGCAAAAAACACTGCTGTCCTGCCACCTCCACACCTGCAACAACAACATCAACATTGACATCAACATCAGCGCTTCAGAGAGCAGTCAACAGCAATGAACACTGCTGTCCTGTCACCTCCACACCTGCAACAACAACATCATCATCAACATCAACATCAACATCAACATCAGCGCTTCAGAGAAGAGTCACCAGCAACGTTTTATAGCAGAAAATCTTGTCAGTAGGACAAAAGAAGTTTAATTTGGAATGGTGAGGTGATACAAAATTAAAAGATGATGACAATCTATCATTGAAATAATTTCTGTTTTAGTCATATAAAATTCCCTTGGACTATAGTTATTGCGAAACCGATCTTTTACATATGCGGTATAAAAAGAAACCCTTGTCAGTCTGATTATATATTTTTTTCTGAAGATTTGATTTTTGTGGTCAGTAGTTTCATAAACCAAGCAAGAAATATGTCAAACCTTATATATTTGACCTCAACAGGGATCAGTTATACCATAATCATCTACCACAAAGCACCTAGTTTGAATTATGATTATTATATGTGTTCTTTACTAAAATTGCTGAAGAGCATTTATGACCAAGTTGTTGTTATGAAACTAAACATTCTTTGGTTGAAATACATAATTTTCCCTTGAAAATGCATTGTACAACGTCTGATATGCTAAAGTTTTTTCATTTAAGATTGTCTCTAGATTTAATATCAAGAAAAAACCCAGAGCCATTGAATCAACACAAACGAAAAATTCAATCCCAAATAATTTAATTTCCCTCCCAAAAAACACAAACGTACAAGAAAATGATGGATAATTATCCAGAGCAATGATCAGAGATATATTGATTGGTGATTAGGTTTCCCGAGTTTGTGAGAAGGAAAAATATTGATTCGTGAAAAAGATGCAGGAAAGATTCCAGGAGATTGTTACAAGTGACACGTCCGCAACGAGACCTTTCTCTCTCCCAAGTCCCGTTCTGTGAAAACACCAATCAATAACAAAATGAGTTATGTTTGCTCCTGCCACAAATAGCTTCTACAATATTTCACCATCACTTTGAAACTAATGGATTTTTGTAAGATAACAGTTCATCCTTTTGAAGTGTATTAAGTTGATTCACATGGTAAAAGAAACGGCAGGCACTGTACCTACTCCAAGACACTCAACACTCAAACTTATTCATCATGTAAAATGTAGGTTAATCATATACAATTTCTTTGGCCATGTTATTCAATTTTTTCAAAATAATCATTACCATAGATCAAACTTTACTATGAAAACATGAAACTGCGTAAGGCTTTCATTCAACTCCTACAGAAGTAGCGTAAAACTCTTCAAAATTGTTTATTCTAAACTTTCTATATTTTTTGACGAAGGAAACATCAAATTAATAATGAAATTGACATTGATCTTAAAACCAATTTTGGGGAGATAAACATGCTGTACTGTGAGAGTTTACAATCACCAATCTTCAGCCTACACAAGTTTTGTGAATGAAAAGTGTTGAAATAACATGTGCAATAACATGTGCCTCCGGCTCAAAAGTGACACGATAACAAACACAATTTGTGAGAAAAGTTAATTTAAAGAAGTTCTTATAACAATTCAAAATGCCAACAAGCTATATGCACAATCTGACATTGATGAACACAAAATTACAACTGAAGGAGTTTTCAGAGGTTTCTGTTGATGTAAACGTCCCTATTATAAATATGTGTTGGGTCATGGGGCTGAGATGTTGCTGACACAGAGTCACTTGATAGACATGATGATGAGAGGAAACAGGAACGTCATTTGGGAATCAAACTACCCCCCTGGCTAACACTGCAAGCTCATCACTGTATCACTTGTATATTCTGTAGCTCCATTCTGGTGAGGTGAAATGGGGTTTAACGTCGCGTCCAAGATAAATGAACTTATAAAGCGACGTGCATGCACGTGTGTGTGTGTGTGTGTTTGTGTGTGTGTGTGTGTGTGTGTGTGTGTGGCTGCTTGTACTAGTCCGGACTGATGCCGATTTATAGTACTAGCACACTGAGATACCATGCCACAGTTTAACATAAATACCCCACTCAGACACAGTATACTGACTCCGAGCCGACCAGTCCTTGTTTTAGCCCCCTAATGTCGAGCGCCAGACAGGGTAACAACAAGTACCACCTTTTAACATCTTTTGGTGTGATGCAGCCGGGATCAAACCCCGGACCTTCCGCTCTCCGGGCGGACGCTCTACCACTAGGCCACGGAGGCGGTCCACTCCATCATGGATCAGTGGCTACTGTAGCTCATTGTTCACATTCAATAGTTTGCTCGTGGGTTTTACAAAACTGGGAACATCTCCCAGATACAACTGACCTGACAAGGCTGAAATAATCTTAGAAAAGAGTCTTAAACAATCGGGGGCATGGATGGCCCAGATGTCTAGGCGCTGCAATTTCCTGTGCAGGGTTGTACCTTGGCCACGGTGTGAACCTAAGATTGTGGGTTCGAGTCTTAGTTCACCCAGATCATATTTCTACGATTGTCAGCATCGTACCCGTGCTTGTGGGTTTCACCAAAGTGGTAAACGTGTGAGACCTGCATCACTTCAAGCATTCCTCCCATGTTAATCTGACACACCGTGATATAACTGGAATACTGTTAAAAGTGGTGTCAAACCCAGCTCACTCACTCACTAACTCTTAAACAATCTCACTCGCTATAGTATCCTGGGTTTGAAATACCTCAACAAGGTATTCATCATCACAGTGACATTGTTTTGGAACAAGGGAAACTGTCATCCAAAATAGTTACACAAATTATCATAATATAATGAATTATCTGAGATTAATATCATCACAGAGTGAAGCCAATGTCATACCAGCAAACAGAATGTTCCTACATAGGCAGGCCCCCGTTTGCTCAATCACAAACAGTACAGAAGCTGATGCTATTCTTTGGCTTGCCATAAATTAATGATTTACGATAACTCTGAAGACAAATATATCAACCATTTTTGTTCCTAATCACTTTTCAGCATTTTGTCATGTTAGCAAATCAAACGTGAGCTTCAGTGGACATACATTCATATAAATGAACTTGGCATGAAGCATATCTGTTAAGACCAAATCATGACGAGGTAATAGAAGGACATATTTACAACATTAATGAAAGCCATGAACATAGGTTTAGTCCTTACAGACCAAGAACCATAACCTCAAGATAGGGGGCAGAGTGGTGTACACACCCTTTTGGAGTGAGGTGAGGTGAAATGGGGTTTTAACGGCGCGTCAAAGATTATTGCACTTATATAGCGACGTGCATGTATGTGTGTGTGTGTGGCTGCTTGTACTAGTCTGGACTGATGCCGATTTATAGTGCTAGCCCACTGAGATACCATGCCGCAGGTTAACATGAATACCCCACTCAGACACAGTATACTGACTCCGAGGCGACCAGTCCTTGTTTCAGCCCCTTAATGCCGAGCGCCAGACAGGGTATCAACAAGTACCATCTTTTAACGTCTTTTGGTATGACGCGGTCGGGGATCGAACCCCGGACCTTCCGCTCTCCGGGCAGACGCTCTACCACTAGACCACGGAGGCGGGCTCCCTTTCGGAGTGAGTAAGTGAGTGAGTGAGCTGGGTTTAATTCTGCTTTTAACAGTACTCAGTTATATAATGGCATGTCAGCTTACTGTGGGAAGAAAGCCCAAAGTGATGGAGGTCTCAGATGTTTACCACTTCGGTGAAATCCACGAGCATGGGTACGATGCTGACAAACCTAGAAACATAATCGGGGTGAACCGGGATACGAACCCACGATCATAGATTCTGCTGTGTGCAAGGGATGCAACTCTGCACAGCTGATTGCAGTGCCTTAGATAAAAGGGCCTCCTGTGTCCCCTTGTTTGTGGAGATTCTTACCACGTATACGTATGAAAGTAGGTGATTGTGTATATTCAGTGAAAAAAGGGAACATATTCAACATCATAAGTAACTTATTAGGGGATACAATTTACAAAAGACAAACTACTTTGCAGATTTTTGTGCATACATCAAGTACTTGACGTTAACTTTTGATCCGAAACAGACCCCACTTTTCTGAATAGCTACGCGGATTCATACAGATTGCACATCGGTTTTTCGATTCATACCTCAATGAACTGAAAAAAATACACAGTCAATCCTTAAATAAATCCATGTCAGATCCATTATGTGTGAAAAAAGATAGAGCCAAACTTTTCCTCTCCATAATCCACAAGTACAGAGTGATTCTGACGATAGCGATGGGGAGTTTCCACAAACACAGGCAGCTCATTATGATACTCAGCCTCAGAAACTGATTGTTAATGATTTAGTCAATATGGCAGTACGAGGAACGAGAGTTGAATAATTGGAGAATACATGAACACAAGCTGGTGATGTTATCAAGGTTCTTTGGCATCCAAAATGAACACAAAACTGATGACGAAATATGTCCGTCTCAAATGCTGGACCAAGAACATGACTTGAATTTGAAATTTTGTGTGGTGGGTCAGTATTCATTTAATATCATATTTGATGACTGATGTTATTAACAGTGCAATGTAATATAAGGGGAACGGTATTTTTCAGGGCATTGTCATTTGCAGAATCCCTTGGTCTTCCATTAACTGCCCAATGAAGGAGGACAGTTGAAAAGACCGAGGGCTTCTGCAAATGATAATGCCCTGAAAAATAGCGTTACCGTTATTGTAGCTAAAAAGAATAGAATTTGTTATGAAATAATAGGAACAACAATATCAGTTTCGAAACATTTACTGCAATGAACACGAATGTCACTGACACACTTTTACAAATATGGAAACGTCATAGAACAACCAGATGACGTCACTATTGAAAGTGACGTCACCTATCCCTATCCTATGGCATAACCTAACAACGGGCGTGGTAATTGCCTGTCATCAGGCAATATGAGGGCATTATGAAGTTACTGTCACCCATTCATTTCTGATAACATGCAGGCGGTTGAAGGATTCTTTTAGCATCCATTTTAGCTATAAACCTAAATATAAAACCCCAGAGCATGACAAGGCCTGATTATCCGATGAAGCAGACGCCACTGAAAACAATGTTATTCAGCCTTGGGATCAACAGTGTTTACACATATTCACAGTCGTGTCGGGGGCACAGGTGGCCCAGTCGTCTAAGGCGCGGCAATTCGCTGTGCAGAGTTGCGTCCCTTTGGCACACCAGAGTGAGTGAGTGAGCTGGGTTTGACACCACTTTTAACAGTATTCCAGTTTTATCACGGCGTGTCAGATTAACATGGGAGGAAAGCCCAAAGTGATGCAGGCCTCAGACTTTTAACCACTTCGGTGAAACCCACGAGCACACGTATGGTGCTGACAAACCTAGAAACATAATCAGGGCGTACCGGGATTCAAGCCCACAATCATAGGTTTCTGGCGTGTCCAAGGGATGCAACTCTGCACAGCAAATCGCCGCACCTTAGACAACTGGGCCACCCGTGCCCCCTTGCTTATAACAAAACACAAAAGGAGAACTAATCATAGTTTGTTATAACTATAGTTCATTATAAGCACATATACAACATTTATACAGCAAATGGCTGGGACCAGAAAAATGAATTTGTTATATCTGTCAGTTCATTATAAGTGTGTTGGCAATACAAAAAGATGATCGTATCAAGGACACAAGAAAGGGCAACCCATCACTGGAGACAACACAAATATTGTCAGTGTCAATAATTATAAAAAATAGATTTTAGCAGCATATTTAACTACTACCCTGGTATGTTCAAATTCATGCGAGTACTGTCATCCATTGTTTAACACTCCTGCAGTATTTACAAAGATGTATTACTAAGTGAAAGTGTATTTTTGCTACTGTTGCTAGCTCCATTAATTCTATACATAATAGAGACTAGTACGGTGATGTAGATGTCAAGATGTATATAGATATAGCTATGACTCAATAATTCATGATGTCTGACAACATTAGACAGTTTCAGCTGTGGGAACTTCATCCCATTTATTAGCAATTTCTTGCTTTACGCATAAATATTGGGAACAAGTAGAATAACTCATTTGATTACACAGTGTCTGGTGCTCATGAGTGTATACAGGCAGTCTGTCATTGATTGGAGGGAAGATAATCCCTAATCCTGGGATGATCGTAACTGCTTTAATATCCTCTAATTCATAGAGTGTGTGAGTATGGTTTTACGCCACCTTTCGCAATATTCCAGCAATATCATGGCGGGGGACACCGGAAAATGGGCTTCACACATTGTACCCATGTGGGGAATCGAAGCCAGGTCTTCAGCATGACGAGCCAAAGCTTTAACCACTAGGCTACCCAACAGCCCCTCTAATTCACAGTGCTTTAGAAAACAATGTTAATCAATCCTTGTGCTCCCCTCCTGTGTGGATCTGTTTTTACATGCAAGTGGTGGAATCAAAACAAAGGAATAAGACCAAGAAGTTCACGTTTTTTGATGACCTTATAAAACTAACCCTAATACCTAACCTAACCTAACCTAACCTAACCTAACCTAACCTAACCTAACCTAACCTAACCTAACCTAACCTAACCTAACCTAACCTAACCTAACCTAATCCTAACCTTAACCCTAACCCTAATTATGGTCTTTGTTGTCAATGATTAATTCTTTTGAACATGGATAGGGTTTTGTTGCTTTTATTATTATCATCATCATCATCATCATCATCATTATTATGGTCTGTCTCTTTCACTTAGCTATTTGGTTTGTAGATCAGCTACATGAACAAAATCCAACCAATTTCAGTTATGAAAAACTTCAAACTAGGTTATTGGCCAATGTAAGTAGCCCTTTGACTTTACTTAAAAGTGTAACTTATTCTTTTCTTTATTTCACCCCACCAACAACTCTTTTCATGAGACGCCTTTTAAAAAGAGTTTTACTAAAGATCCAGTTTTATCTTTTGACCCTAGGTTTGGGTTAAAAGAATCTATAAACCTGGTGATAAATTAGAAGATCTCAGCTTATAGTCAAGAGCCTCTCACCAAGGCCCCAGATCAGCTTCAGATGCCCAAGGGCGGGTGTGCTGATGCAATGAGAGTGCTTATCAGAGGGGGAACGCTATTGCAGTTTGGTGTTCTCCTGTAGAACGTTTGTCCATTAAACCAAGAGCAGCTTACCTGCAATGTACAAGAACTGGTCCTGATGATGTGCTCATAAAACTGCTGACTCGTCGTCTTACATCCAAAATAAATCCCGGGTCTGCACATTCGTTGTCATGGAAACCAAGCATTTCAAAATGCCTGACCACCCTCTCTTCTGAGCTACCTTCCTGCAAGGCAAGAATTGATTGTGTTAAAATTAAGTGAGTGAGTGAGTACGGTTTTACGCCGCTTTTAGCAATATTCCAGCAATATCACGGCGGGGGACACCAGAAATGGGTTTCACACATTGTACCCATGTCGGGAATCGAACCCGGGTCTTCAGCTTGACGAGCGAACACTTTAACCATTAGGCTGCCCGACCGCCCCTGTTAAAATAAGTGAAGGCTCAACCTCTGCAATATATGGCCAGTGTGGTTAATGTTTTCCTGATGAAGAAATATTATGTCAACACATTTAATTGTTATCATGAACACAGAATACAATACAAAGTTCAACATACATTGCTTTGCAAGTCAAAGATTTGGGACAGATTCCAATAAATCTATTTTTAGCAATGTGGGATTTCCCTTCATATGCATCAATACAATGCAGGGTAATAAAAGCCACATGTTAAATCTGTTTTCTCATGTCAATCAATCTTTATTCATTGTACTGATGAGGCCAAAAGAGCCCATAATACATAAACCTTGGTGTGAAAAATTCATAACATACTTTATTTGTATCATGGTATGGAATATGAACGCTGATAAATGAACACAGGTCACACCCACCACTCACACAGGCCACACCCACCACTCACACAAGCCACACAGGCCACACCTACCACTCAAACAGGTCACACCCGCCACTCACACAAGCCACAACCACCACTCACACAGGCCACACTCACACAGGCCACACCCACCACTCACACAAGCCACACCCACCACTCACAAAAGCCACACCCACCACTCACACAAGCCACATCTGCCACTCACACAAGCCACAACCACCATTCACACAAGCCACACTCACCATTCACACAAGCCACACCCACCATTCACACAGGCCACACCCACCACTCACACAAGCCACATATCACTCACACAAGCCACACCCACCACTCACACAAGCCACATCCTTGAGACCTACAGTGGGTAGCCGGGTAGGGTAGGGTAATAGTCATTTGGGTACCCAGGTAGTAAATTCAGACTTGTTCCAGCCCTAGCTTTTAGCTTTACAGAAAAATCAAGCAGAGGACACTAAGACAAGGCTTCACACACTGGTACCAGACACTGACACCCAGACCTTCAGGGATTAACACATATAATAGGCTATTAATATTGCGCATATTTCCACACCACTCAGGGCCATGTTCAAAGCACTATTATAACCCCGGTCACTGGATCAGTGAGCACTCAAGAATCACTCTCAGCTCCCTGGGAAGTATACAACCTAAGCTGCCTGTTATGAGCTAGAAGGTTAACAACCATCATACCGGATACCCATCCACTACTAGGTAAACAGAGGCACATTTAGAATAAAGTCACTTGCCCAAGGAGACGCTACATGTGTTACATGTGCTTCAGTGTGGGGCAGGACCGAAGCCTAGAAACTCTCATGAGCTAAGCTGCCGAAATGCGGTCACCCATTCAAGGACTCATTCATTCAATGACCGACGTTGCTTAACTTCACCTGATTTGTGACCTGTGACTGTGCAGGACCACGTGTTGACAAATAAGGTGTCTGAAGAAGGGGATGGGTATACCTGCATCCATCCTCTGGATCACAGTGTTGTTGATATCAAAATGAGGCAACTTACTTTCTGTATCCGAAATGTCCTGATGTTGAGCTGTGCCATGAAAACAGCATCTTTGTTCCAAATATGGATGTCCCCATGACGGACATATTTCTTGACTCCAAGGAAGACATCCCAATACTTCTCACATTGTTGCTGAGAAAGACACATATATATAATGGCTTTAAGTGTGACAAGAAGTTGAGGAACTAACAGATTTACTCAACGAACAACTAGAAAAAATATATATTCAAGGTCACATGTAGTGAAAAAATTTCATGCGATCTTGAGGCAAATATCAATATTTCTGTATACTATAAACCATGGTAATAACGAACTCAAGGGAACTCAAGGGAGTTCATTATCACCGGAGTTCATTATTACAGTAGTTCATTATTACCATAGTTCATTATTACCGTAGTTCATTATTACCCTAGTTCATTATTACCGTAGTTCATTATTACCACAGTTCATTATTACCATAGTTCATTATTACCATAGTTCATTATTACCATAGTTCATTAATACCATAGTTCATTATTACCGTAGTTCATTATTACCCTAGTTCATTATTACCGTAGTTCATTATTACCACAGTTCATTATTACCATAGTTCATTATTACCGTAGTTCATTATTACCCTAGTTCATTATTACCGTAGTTCATTATTACCGTAGTTCATTATTACCATAGTTCATTATTACCGTAGTTCATTATTACCCTAGTTCATTATTACCGTAGTTCATTATTACCGTAGTTCATTATTACCATAGTTCATTATTACCACAGTTCATTATTACCGTAGTTTATTATTATCATAGTTCATTATTACCATAGTTCATTATTACTGTAGTTCATTATTACCGTAGTTCATTATTACCATAGTTCATTATTACCACAGTTCATTATTACCGTAGTTTATTATTATCATAGTTCATTATTACCGTAGTTCATTATTACCATAGTTCATTATTACCGTAGTTCATTATTACCGTAGTTCATTATTACCATAGTCCATTATTACCATAGTTCATTATTACCGTAGTTCATTATTACCATAGTTCATTATTACAGTAGTTTATTATTACCGTAGTTCATTATTATCGAGTTCAGTATTACCGTAGTTCAGTATTACCATAGGTCAGTATTACCGTAGTTCATTATACAGCATATAAACAGCAAATGGACGAGACCCCAAAACACTTTGTTATATATCTGACAGTTTGTTATAAGCGTGTTCGTTATGAACATAGTTTACTGTACATGAAGTCAGTTTCCGGGAGAACAAATTTGACAATATTCGTAGGAAGACTTTTAATATCCAAGTGAAGGCTCTGTAATCACACGCTCCGTAATCGTAATCTTACAATGCTCAGCGACTACACGGATATGCCGAGTAGGTCGGTCGCAACTCAAACATCAGTCAAGAGCAAATCTAAAGGTGTGGCTATTTCTGTTTATCCTACAGACATTACAACATTTCATACATTGTTGAGTGTGAAACAACCTTTGATGTTTTCATGTGAATAATAAACATAAAACTTCATGTTTGTAATTAGCCCTTCAAGCATGCATCCTGTTTTCGTACTATAAACCGGAGCTGCTATAAAACTATGTTCACCACTATTTTTATTCAAGGGTCCAAGGGCTATAGATAGAGTCCCCTACCCTAGCCCTAACACAACCATAAGGATCGAAAAGGTACACACACATTTTCCGAAACGCAATTATTTTCTAGAGCTATATTTAGCTTTTACGATACTGTTGGGTAGCGAACAGATTCTATACTTATACCCATAAACCACCTCGGTCCTCTTTCACGCCATGAACGCCCTTCAGGGGGTTATACCTAGTAGACAACAGACGACATCATCTATGCTGTTTCTACTTCTTGCCATAAGTTGTGGACACGGCAATTAAATGGATGAGCAGACAGTGAAGTGTGATCATTGAAATTTTGCAGCACGACAAACACTGGGAATGGATTCACCCCGGGTGGCAGATTTCTTTCATTTGGTGACAATTCAGCCTATACTTTTTCACTGTCTGCTTTACGCGATTTCCATTTTTCAAATTTGTATTGAAATCTGCAAAGTTGCATGAATTGCCCTTTAAAGCTATTTTTAAACTCATTCATCAACATTGAAAGTTGTAATTTGACCTAAGCACCAATAATATATGCATTATGTTCATTATCAATCCAGATCATTAACATACAGCAGCATTTTCAAAAAGTCCAGTTGCCATGACAACACAATGCACCCCTTCCTGCCAGATCATGTGCCAGAATGCTGCTAAAGTTCTGCTTGTGGGCCCTGAAACAGTCAAATCATTTCACAATCATTTCCCACACAGAGCATATTCCCTGCATTTGTTCATCAGCTTACAGTTACAATGTCTGGTTACAATTAGTTGTAATAGTTTCTCCCCTTGCATTTCTCCCTCCTATATCAAATTTAATTTTTCAATTATCATATTAAAAATAATTAAGTATCCATTTTTCAAATTTGGAATTGAGAAAAAAAAGATACCGGTATTTATAGAAAAATGTATTCAGCGCAGTGAAAAATCAAAATTCTTTCTTTTAAAAAAATCACATTTAACAATATTTTTCAATCAGTTGAAAGTGTTATTTCTTTCAAGTGAAATACTGATTTAATATTTTAGATGAATATTGTAGATTATCACTAAATGCATACAAAATAGTTTTATTTTCAGTACACTCTAAAAAAGAAAAGAAAAGAAATGCCCAGGTAGTATGTAGTTCACTGAAGCTGGCTACACAAAAAATCTGATATATAAATTGGATATATGTTATTGGAAAATGTTGGTGGCCTGATATTCGACAAATGGTGCGTCATAACACAGCCATTGTCGATTTGCAATGTCTTAAACGGTATTGTTTTCACACTTGTTAAAAAATGTCATGGAGGAAAACAGTAAAGCAAAATGCACGTACAAGTATTCATAACTCGTGGTAGTGGCTATAAAAAGGCAAGCATAAGCCAATAATTTGTCATTCAATTGTCAACATTTTTCAAGTTCGTAAATGCCGAGACTCAGCGCTGTCGATCGGAATATCGCCATAGGACATATTGAAAGAGGGGAATCACAGTCTTCTGTTGCATGCCACTTCAACGTCCACCACAACACAAATTTGAAAGCAAATTGCTGCATGAATCAACTTCTTCAACCTCACCTTCTGCCAATCATTGACTGCCAGAGGGAGCTGTTTCAACAGGACAATGCTCCACCGCACACAGCTTGTGTCATGATAGACTACCTTCATAATACCAACATCAACGCCTTGCCCTGGCCGCCAAGATCTCCAGACCGCAACCCACTCGAACACCTCTGGGATGAACTCGATCGACGGGTATGTCAACGTCAGAAAACGCCACAGACACTCCCATGTCTGGCCAACCCAATACAAGCAGAATGGTGCAGAATTCTTCAGGATGAAGAGATGCAGAGCTGTGATTGCTGCCACATGAGATACTGAGTTGAGCGCAGCCTTGTGGCCTTATGTGACATGACAATGAACAGTTTTCAATGCCTTTGAACAACGACAACCTGTGACTATCGAGCTCCAAAATTTCCTTTTTGTATCTATGATATTAAATAAAATATATCAACTTTATTAGGTACAATAAATTTACTAAAAATCTACCTGTGCATTTCTTTTTTTGAAGAGTGTACATACAGACATGGCAAGACTTTTCTTGACAATATTTATCCCATTCTCTATTTTCAACACATGACATTCAAATGTTCATTCACTAGTCCAGACTACAAATAAATGCTAACATCAGTTTCAGAAGCTATTAGTATTTATATATAGATTATAGAAGCTCGCAATATATTCCTGATATTTGAACTTTGGTCTTTAGTGGATAAGTCACAGACTGCCAACCTATAAATTCTGATTTTCAATCAGGATGCAATTAATACCACATAACATTTCAAAATATTCATCACATTCCAAAATATTTGGTGATTTGAATTATCATGCAAAAGGTTATGAGGATGCTTTTTGAAAATGAAAATGTTAAAATTATGTGACCAAAGATGTTTTCTTTAAATGTCCATTACTTTATTTATTCCTTCTAAGAAGGAGTGAGTGAGTATAGTTTTAACGCCGCTTTTAGCAATATTACAGCAATATCACAGCTGTGGACACCAGAAATGGGCTTCACACATTGTACCCATGTCGAACCCGGGTCTTCGGCGTGACGAGCGAACACTTTAACCACTAGGCTACCCGACCGCCCCTCTAAGAAGGAGCCAAGATGTTTTATGTTGCATGAAGAATGCACCTGTGGCATCTGAAAAAGGTGTGGTAGGAAGGGAATCTAAAGCAGAAAAAACACTGGAAAAACACTGTTTTATACCATGACGCAGGAAGACAACTGAAAAGGTTAACAGGAGTGTTGCCTTCTTATTTTGCCAAAGGTTCTAGCATGTGATATTTGAATTTTGATTCTTTTTTTTTCCTTCTTATTTTAGGGGGCAGTTTTTTGTGTGTGTTACATACACAAATGAAGTTTTATTCATATATCATGTACTGGTATATATTGCTAGGTTTAACTGAATATATCACTGTCTCTCAACATGTCTGTCTAACAATGTGAGTGTTTATGTTGCTCTTTAGGAGTCTCTTTACCCACATCCATCAAGGATGAATTGCTACAGTACAATGTCTCCATCAGGACCAGTCAACCTACCTTGAGCAGCGATGTACTCCTTCGTCAGGTAATAGCCCTGGAGGCAAGAAGGGCAGTGTTAGGAGGGCTTCTCAAAGACCACTAATTTACATTTTTTGTGTTTTCTTGCCACAATCTGACAAGTTCTGACACAGTGCAGTGCAATACTGTATTAGACCCAATAAGCGCCCCCGCCCCCCCCCCCCCCCCCTTTTCCCAGATGTAAGATTTACTCACCTGTTTTTTACATACAGTCAAGAATCTTTTGTAGTTGGTTAATGAGGAGATGTTCACCAGTAAAACGTAAGTAACAGTTAATCTCTAGCCCCCCAGCAACAGAAGAATATCGATAGGCTTACTGATGAATTTACGCCAATTTGACTCTGAAATGGTCCCAATAAGCGCCCACCCCTTCTGTCTTTATTTTACGCGCCCTGGGCGCTTATTTGGTCAAATACGGTACATGTCATTCAAGTGTACTGGTGAGGTGAAATGGGGTTTAATGTTGCGTCCAAGCTCATTGCACTTTTAAGCGACGTGCATGCACATGTGTGTGGCTGCTTGCACTAGTCCAGACTGATGCCGATTTATAGTGCTAGCCCACTAAGATACAATGCAGTTTAACATGAATACCCCACTCAGACACAGTGTACTGACACCGAGCCAACCAGTCCTTGTTTAGCCCCTTAATGCTGAGCGCCAGGCAGGGTAACAATGAGTACCATCTTTTAATATCTTTTGGTATGACAGGGCCGGGGATCGGACCCCCAGACCTTTCATTTTCAGGGCGGACGCTCTACCACTAGACCACGGAGGCTGTCTTCAAGTGTACTGTGTTGGAGGACAATGTGAAGAAGGATATACTCAGCATTATTAATGAAGGGTCACCTGGTATGTAAGGCTTCAAACATGAACATGTGCCAACAATAGGTCTGAGTATGTTAACAATGTGCTTAACAGTTGAAGAACATGTTGTTTATGCCTATTTCACATTGATCGAGTAATTGTATGAACCTGGAAAAAAGGATAATGACTGCTAAAAACAATGAAAAGTGAAAGATTGAAGGTTATGCAATTACCTACACACCACAATTCAATGCATGACAAGCAACATTTTTTGTTTGTTTGTTTATTTGTTGTTTAACGCCACACTCAGCAATATTCCAGCCATATGACAGTGGTCTGTAAATAATCAAGTCTGGACCACACAAACCAGTGATTGACATCATGAGCATCTATCCAATTGGGATACTATGACATGCATGAACCAAGTCAGCGAGCCTGACCACCTGATCCCATTAGTCGCCCCGAACGACAAGCAGAGTCGCCTTTTACAGCAAGGATGGGTTGCTGAAGACCTATTCTACCCCGGATCTTCACGGGTCTACAGTCAATGTGGGTATAAAACGCTTCATTCCAGATACACCTGAACTACACTCTTAGAAGTTGAAGATGCAACACTGTTTGCATACTTTTATCTGTTATTGTCAGTGTGACTGTTTAATAATGACACAGAGTATATGTTGGTAATATTTCAAGAATAAAAGGATGACCAGAAAGATGTGTTTAGTTGGTTGGTTGGTTTGTCTTTTTACGCTGCACTCAGCAATATTCCAGCTATATGACGGCAGTCTGTAATAATCGAGTCTGGACCAGACAATCCAGTGATTAATATCATGAGCATCGATCCACGCAATTGGGATCGATGACATGCATCAACCAAGTCAGCGAGCCTGACCACCCAATCCCATTAGTCGCCCCGAACGACAAGCAGAGTCGCCTTTTACGGCAAGTATGGGTTGCTGAAGACCTATTCTACCCCGGAATCTTCACGGGCCAGATGTGTTTAGAACAAAAACAGGACACCAATAGGGTTTGATAACATATAAGCCATGGTTTGAGCACTGGGCCTTAGTACAATGCAGTCTTAGCGCTATAACTGTCGTAAGCCGGTGTTAAAGTATGGGAATTTTGATCACCTTAGCGCTAAGATAGCTTTGTGCAAATGGGGCCCTGAGCAATGTAACACAAAAATGTGCCACAACTAAAAGTTATGTTTTATTGTGGAAAAAAAACTAACAATTTGTATCCATTCTTTGTTATCTGTTCACTTTTTCTTAAAGCTATGACTGTCGTGAGGGAATATGGGAGTTACAATAATCTTAGCGTTAAAATCATATTTATAGATTCATGTGTGTGATACTGCACAGACAATACTATCCCAGAGATCTTGTGGAGGTTCCAGAACAGAATAGGTCCCCAGTACCCCACACTTGTTGCCAGTGACAACTGATGAGAAGTGGGTGATATTAACTATATGAACTGGTTGACTGTGGTCATGGATGGCATGGATCTTTGGTATGGCATGTCAACAACCACAACGTTGCAGTGAATATATACTGTATATCACTTTTTATAAGGTGAGTTTTTCATACCTAGAATTAGGGTCTTTCAAGTGGGGTCGTCTTATACACAGGGTTGACGAGTTTTGATGTTTTTTTCCCCAACACAAAGACATTACTGTGAGCACGTAACACCGGAAATACCATGTCAACAAATCCATACTGAAGTACGCAAATTAATCATGTAATTACACTGTCTTGTTATAAAAAGTGTTCATTGTATATCTGGACATATGATTGTAATCTGTTTTATTAATTTTATTTAAAATTTCATTCAATATTGTTTACATTCATTTCGGCGAAATACATTGACCCAATGAAAGTCATATTTGTTGCAGTTTGATTATTATATGAGAACATAAAGTTTTCGCTATTGCGAGCGTGGGAGCATGACGGATGTTGGTGAAATTGTTCCATACGAAACAATATTCAGCAATAACGATTATTAATAATAGCAATAGTTATAACTAAAATAACATGATATTGGAATAAATTATTCCTGGTAAAACGACAACGTCAGAGAATAATCAGTCTAGATTATCTGTTGAAACAGGTTCCACGAGGTGTAAAAAGGAAAAATAGTGGTGAAAATTATATGAATGGATGACTGCAAATGAGTGATATCACAAGGTGTTTATAAAAAGGATAGCATGTCCTGCTCTACTGATCACGCGATTCGCTGTGCAGAGTTGCGTCCCTTGGGCATGCCAGAAACCTATGATTGTGGGTTCGAATCCCGGTTTGCCCCGATTATGTTTCTAAGTTTTGTCAGCACCATACCCGTGCTCGTGGGTTTCACCGAAGTGGTAAACGTCTGAGACCTGCATCACTTCGGGCTTTCCTCCCACATTAAGCTGACACGCCGTGATATTACTGTAATACTGTTAAAAGCGGCGTTAAACCCAACTCACTCACTCACTCTACTGATCTCACCTGCAACAAGGCAACATTCACATGACCACCACCTCGGAGCATTACGAGAGACTGTTCGTCCTGGGAGGGGACTTTACATTACTTTCAGGACATCCAAATTTTATTAAACCTGAAGACAGAATATTTTTGTCCAGCATTGTCCAGGAATAGATTATTTTTTTAAAAAGCCAAAAGTCATGTGATGATGGGTCTAGCCACTGTGAAGTAAGCCATTGAAGACCGGCACAACACTGTGACATCTTGTAGTCATTGACCGCCTCCTTGGTCTAGTGGTAGAGCGTCAGCCCGGATAGCAGAAGGTCCGGGGTTCGATCCCCGGCCGCGTCATACCAAAAGATGTTAAAAGATGGTACTTGTTGTTACCCTGTCTGGTGCTTGACATTAAGGAGCTAAAACAAGGACTGGTCAGCTCGGAGTCAGTATACTGTGTCTGAGTGGGGTATTCATGTTAAACTGCGGCATGGTATCTCAGTGTGCTAGCACTATAAGTCGGCATCAGTCCGGACTAGTACATGCAGCCCCCCCCTACACACACATGCATGCACGTTGCTATATAAGTGCAATAATCTTGCACACAGCGTTAAACCCCATTTCACCTCACCTCACCTCTTGTATTCATCGGTGTCTCTTTTCATCAGTCCAAATTTATTCTTACTATTCTTACTATTAAATTACGGCCTCTGTCGTTAGCAACAAAAAATAACCCACATATCCACTAGAATTGCTATTTGTTCAAGGATTATAAGAGATTATAAAAATGTGCATAACATTAAGTATTCGGTCACCATGAATTTTGTTTGAAACAGATTGGAGCTGGAGGTTTTTAACATTAAAATTTTATTCCACCAAATTTATTTCATTCACTGATATAAAGACATGAAGGCCATGGTGACGTGCGAAACTAGCCATTTTGCTTCAAAATTATACTGTTATCTTGATATAACATTTATACTAAGTTTTCCTATAATAATTAGATCCACATCAAGTGCTTTTATGAGTTATCATGGTGTAATATTTATACATCATTTCATATAATTATAATTTAGCAGATAATACTTATCATCAGGTAAAATGCATATATAAAATATCAGTAGTTTCAGTTACAGCTTTTTAGATAGATGCTAGCCTAAGGTAATGGGAGCGCATCTCCTAGACGTACTATTCAATAAGACAAGAGTTACGTCTACATAGTTTAATAGATTTGAAGCTTTTAGATAAATGCTAGCCTAAGGTATCAAGATCCCATCTCCCAGACAAAAGATATGTCTACATAGTCTTATAGATTACCTTGAAATATTTTATTTAAGTAAATCTGTCATCACCTATATTAGAATAACATTCAGCAATTACTTCAATTTAGACTCATTAAGGATTAGCCCCAATACAAGCTCGTCTATAATGACACCATAATCTCTTTCAAATCATGTAGTAATAATCATATGTACAAAATTGCAGGTTACAAAATGTTCAGTTTTGCTTACAACAATCTTTGAAGTGTTTGTGGTAATTCATCTGGAGGAGGAAACATAATAGAAATGGACTAAGGGAGTGTTTTTTACAATTTTAGGGATATGAGAGAGCTTGAGATTTAGTGCCTCTCTGACTGTGACATCATGTCTACTGTTTGAGAAGTGTGTTGTCATTATGGTGGTGTCTGGTTTAGAATCTAAACCTTACTTCTCCACTCATTCATTATCTCTGCTAACATAACATTTGTAATTTTATCATGTGATAATTAACATACTGTATTTTCAATGTGTGTGATACAGTGACTCACTGATACCATCATGACACTGTGTTTGTTTGTTTGTTGTTTAACGCCGCACTCGGCAATATTCCAGCTATATGATGGCGGTCTGTAAATAATAAAGTGTGGACCAGACAATCCAGGGATTGAAATTATGAGCACTGATCTACGCAATTGGGATACTATGACATGCATCAACCAAGTCAGCGAGCCTGACCACCTGATCCCTTTAGTCGCCTCTTGCTGAAGACCTTTTCTACCCCGGATCATCACAAGTCTCATGACACTGTGATATGAAGCATTATGACAGCAGTTCTTTGACGTGTGAGACAGTGACTCACTGACACCTTGACACTGTGTTTGTTTGTTTGTTGTTTAACGCCACACTCAGCAATATTCAAGCTATATGATGGTGGTCTGTAAATAATAAAGTGTGGACCAGACAATCCAGTGATTGAAATTATGAGCACTGATCTACGCAATTGGGATACTATGACATGCATCAACCAAGTCACTGTGAAATGAAGCAGTTTCAGGGGTTAAGGGGATTATAATATTAAGATCCCATGAGATATATTACTTTCAAGGTACAATTGTTTCAGAAAATAAAAACCAATATACATTGATAGGAATGTGATGGGAATCTACATCTATCAATACGATACAAGGTCACATCAAATGCATTGAGACATTAATTGATTATCCAGATATTGATTTTCCTTCATACTTGTTTACAGGGATGAAAATTTAATACATGTCAATATTTGTCTGAAATGACTTGGAAACCTGTTACGAGACACATTTTGTTATTTCATCCAGTTAGAGAGTGTCATTATTGACTTTTGAACCAGACTTAGTTCCTCATGAAAGCATATGTCTTCTCATTGTAAAAATATAGAATACTAAACAAGCTCCTGTGTAATACCAATTTTATGAAACGTGTGAATTGTTCTAATATATCTCATGAGCGAAAGTGAGTCAGATACCACAACTATTCACATGTTTCATAAAATTGGTTTTACACGAGAGCGTGTTTAGTATTTTATTTATTACTTGCCATTTATAAGTTTTTTTAGAATTCCACTCTCGTGTGTGAATAGGCAAACACCTACACAATCCAAAGCATAATACAGTTGAGTTTAACAGAATAATGCTTCAAACACGTCAAAGTTCATAAGTATTAATTTAATGCTATACAACGGCCCACCTTCAGTATTCAGGCGTCTGTTCCACAAAATTATTGTAACGCTAAGGTTATCATAACTCACATACTTTAACATAGGCTTACGACTGTCGTTGTGCTACAGTACGATCGCCTTGTGGAACGGGGACCTGCACCACAAAGTTTACAATCACATCACAATACCCGATGACTTAATTTGTGGAATTTTGTTGCACGATCCACTGCCGAAACAATGCCATGTGACGTCAGCCTAATAACAAGGTTGCTGGGGTCATCGAGTGTGCACAAGCTCCTCTCAGTGATCTGTCATCTCCACACGCAATGTTGTTGAATAAGCGATGTTAAGAGTTAAGTTTTAAGGGATGTTAAGAGCTTTCAATATTTGTTCGTGAAACTTGTTCCCTCAGAACATATGCACATGTTTGGTATTACACAATGTGTAATACAGCTGTATGTTTATTAAACGGGTGATCTCTTCACGGGCAAGCAATTAACATGGTCTACACTAGCATCACACAATAGCAATGCAGAATAGTCCTATTATAGGGTTAAATCTCAGTTGCATCACATGTTTCTGAACTTGGTAATACAGACATACCGTATTCGACGTAATACGCGCCCAGGGCGCTCTCAAAATTAGAAATAGGGGCCTCTTATTAGAATGGTATTTTGGTCACAAAAAAAACAGAGTTGAAAGATAAATTTTATGGTTTATGCTGACAGCCTGAAAATGTTTGTATACGACAGATATATTTTTCCAGAGTGTGTATTATACACGAATAAATAAGTCTTGTGTACATTGATCAGTCGGATGGGGTGCTAATTGGGATTGTTCATGAGCCAATATATTAACAAATATCGCCGTGGGCGCTTATTAGAGCAGGGCGCTTATTACGTCGAATACAGTAATAGATATATCTTTTGCATAAACAAGTTTGAAATAGAAGAGCATTCTGACTGGTCAGTGGGGATGCGTGTACATGTTTTATATATATAAATATACCGATAACAAAGTTGGCAATATTATAGGTATTAATAAAACATAAAAAATGGGCAGCTAGCTAAAATAAATTCAAACCATGTACTTTCTGGTTTGAGTGCTTATAGCTATGCCCAGAAGATAATTAAAAACCCGCAAAATAAAAGAGTGTTGCTTAATCCTCAGGAGATTATTAACAACCGATTTATTCACAATATTATATGACAGATTGCGATTCAACATTTTGTGATCATCTTTTTATCAGAACGTGTGTCTTTATTGATGTTGATGAAAGATCCCTACTTATAAATGATCACTTAAAAAGTCTATTTAGCAACAAGAAACACTACCCAAGCAGCTAATGCTTTATAAAACCATGTGCCCTACATTGACCTGCTACTCAGAGCTTCGGAATATAAGTTATATAAGATGTCAGCCATTAGCAAACTGTATGTAATTCTTCTGTGAGCGACATGGTCGACTTGTCGAGCTGTGTCACAATAGATGTGCATGTAATGTATCGAAGAATTTCCTCTTCACATCATGCAATAGGCTCGTAAACAGGATATTGAACAGCAGTGTGATTGCATTAGAACCTTGGCCATCAGGGATTAGTCCCTGTATGCTATGAAATATCACCATGCTCACACGCAGCAACCATGCTTTATGAAATCCGAGATGAATTTGTCCAAAAACATATATTCGATTGCTTTTCAGCTCTGTCAATAATGGGAATGTGATTCCTGCTCTCACTCAACATTTATTTTGCCAAATAAATGACCATCTGATCCTGTAAACAATATGTCTGGGAATTCATATGGCTTTTATTTCTAGAATTTACCAATAACACGATATGTTGCGGAAACGTGAAGAGAGCTCCATTAAATAGAAGGGTTCAGTTTCAAACAACATGCGATTTTACATGAGAAGTGTTCTTGCAGTAAAGCATAATAAATGATCATGTCAAATAGTTTTTAAACTCTTCTAAATTTAGATTCTGCCGGTTTTTATGAATTATAAAAGACTTTTATACTTACGTCAATGAAACTTGAGTTGATGTAGTCATTTTTAATGTGGGGAGGCACATCCCAGAGTATCACCCGGCTGTGGTCGTCTGGCAACAAAACAAAGATAATACAAAATAAACTCCTGGATGCAGAGATGCAACAATTTTATACCTGTGAGAGTAAGATTATCAGTGTTTGGGAGGATAGCACTCAATTTTCAGAAAGCTGCCTGGGTTTTTTCTCTGCGAGTATTTACATTTACATCATTAATTAAACAAATGCCTTTTTTAAGCAAAGATTATGTTTGCATTTTCTTATAAATTACCAGTTATTTTGAGATATTGTATTTATTTCCTCAAGAACTTTCCATTGTTATAGAAAATGCCAGTTCTCTCTTTCCTTCTGCCAAAATCAAGTAGCATATAGAAATATTCCTTTCCAAATATAGAGCAAATGATTCTGTAAACAATCTGAATATAATCAGGTCAATTTTATTTGTAAACATTTGTAAACAAATATTTAGTTTTTATTATCGTAATCAAGTATGGTCCTTCATGGTCAAACAGAGGTGAATTTAATTTTCACCTGTTAAATTTCTACAAATGATTGATTTTGTTGATTGATGAATTTGTACATTAAAGGAAATATTTAAAATCCATCCACGTTTCGGCACAAGACCCACTGCCAAAAACCTATTGTATCTAGAGGTGTGGGGTATTACCGGAAAGCTTGTTTACCACAATTTGAAAACCTAATGAATATGTATCATTGGTATATTACATTTTTCAAAATCATGCAAATTTTCATGTAGTTGGCAAAGTTAACATAAATGACAAGTTGAATTAAAATTCAGAAATTCAGAAATTCAGAAATTAGCAATTGATTCCTTATATTGTATCTATTACGCATCCCTTGTGGCCATAGCAACATCCAACAAAATTTAGACAGGTCTATTTTGAACCTAGTCATTTGGGTTTTATTTATTCAGCTTCATAACAAATGACAGATGAAAGAACACATCCAATATATTGTGGTAGGTATCGCTTTACATGAATCATTAACGCAATAAATTGTAATACACAAGTCAGGCCAATACCCATCACTCATTGCTTAAAAACATAATGAACAAAAATAAAAATTAAGGGACAGAATACAAGTTTTGTTTGATTGTTTGTTGCTTAACATAGCAATATTCCAGCTCTATGACAGCAGTCTGTAAATAATCGAGTCTGGACCAGACAATCCAGTTGTTTATATCATGAGCACTGATCCACGCAAGTCGGATACGATGACATGCATCAACCAAGTCAGAGAGACTGACCGCCCGATCCCGTTAGTTGCTCTTACGACAAGCATAGTTGCCTCTTATGGCAAGCTTGGGTTGATGAAGACCTATTCTACCCTGGATTTTCATGGGTCAAAATACAAGTAGTGAGAGTAGTCACTTCAATGATGCCACAAGACATTCCTAATCTCAAATGGGATATATGTGGAGTTCCTTGCAGTTATATACACATTTTATATTCACAAAGCAGCCTTCAACTTCTGAACACATACACTTAGTGCTGTAATATTTATTTGCATGACATTAAAAGATGGTACTTGTTGTTACCCTGTCTGGCGCTTGACATTAAGGGCTAAAACAAGGACTTGTCGGCTCGGAGTCAGTATACTGTGTCTGAGTGGGGTATTCATGTTATACTGCAGCATTGTATCTCAGTGATCTAGCACTATAAACTGGCATCAGTCCGGACTAGTACAAGCAGCCACACACATACGTGCTACACTTTGCTATATATCTTGGACGCGACATTAGACCCAATTTCACCTTACCTATTTGCATGACACACAAGTTATATCATGTGAGGTGAGGTGAAATGGGGTTTAATGTCGCGTCCAAGATTATTGCACTTATATAGCGACGTGCATGTACGTGTGTGTGTTTGTGTGGCTGCTTGTACTAGTCCGGACTGATGCCGATTTATAGTGCTAGCTCACTGAGATACCATGCCGCAGTTTAACATGAATACCCTACTCAGACACAGTATACTGACTCCGAGCCGACCAGTCTTTGTTTTAGCCCCTTAATGCCGAGCACCAGACAGGGTAACAACAAGTACCATCTTTTAGCGTCTTTTGGTATGACGCGGTTGGGGCTCGAACCCCGGACCTTCCGCTCTCCGGGTGGACGCTCTACCTCTAGACCACGGAGGCGGTCTAGTTATATCATGAGATATCCAAACATGACTTACCGTATTCGACGTAATAAGCGCCCAGGGCGCTCTCAAATTTAGAAATAGGGGGCTCTTATTGGAATATTATTTTGGTGAAAAAAGAGTTGAAAGATCGTAAATTTCGTGATTGCCCATAAATAAGGGCGCATGTAACACACGAGTGCGTATTATACGCGAATAAATAAGTATTGTGTACATTGATCAAACGGAAGGGGTGCTTATTAGGATTCTTCACTAGCCAATATATTAGCAAATATCGCCGTGGGCGCTTATTAGAGCGGGGCACTAATTACGTCGAATACGGTACTCTCTTTAGCAAAGAACAGTGTATACTTATTGAGCAGCTAAGGCCAGACAATCTTTTATCATTTTCAGATTTTCTTCACAATATGTCACAATGCAGGAGGTAATAATAAAAAAATTCATATTGTCACAGTGGATTTTAGATCAATTTATTATGTTATAAATTGTAATGTATAACAAATACACAATGAAACAGATCTTAAAATTCAGGCAACCACATATGTAAAACTGGAAGAAATGTTTTTTAGAATAAACAATTATTGTTTAAATAACTATGCCGCTTTTCCAGTTTGCAAATCATTAAGTTCAATGTGCTAATTGCAATGCAGGCTCCAGTATTTACAAACCCATACAGACGACATGGTCCTGAGTAGGGCCTTTGATTTTATGTATGTCGTATCAAAAATCAGTATTCAAACAGAAATACATGCAGATGTAAACCCCTTGTTTGACAGACATCAAAAGGTTGTGTTCATGGAAATATATATGGAGGACAAATTCTTTTCTGGGAATGATTTCATTTCTAAAAACTACAAACATTTTACTCACACCTTTATCCTAAACCAATTTCAGTTTACTTTGATATAGTAATGACAGAGAGGCACAGAAATGAAACTGACAAGAAAATTAGATCAGTTGAAAGCAATATTAATCATTCTATTCATCTATGATAATATTTCCGATACATCGGGATGTTGATAACATTCCATAACAACAACAGGCCATTTTCTAATCGATTAGACTGTATGAATAATAGATGGAGATAATCATTGTAAGGCATCTGGGGGAATTCCCGCGACAGTAACTCAATCTATGGACTCTCTTTACAGCAGATCACACCTCAGTGTCATGTATGGCCACAACACCATTGAGTCAGCTGCCCTGTCCATATACACCCTGAAACACTGTCCATATACACCCTGATTCAGTGTCCATATATACCCTGTAACACTGTCAATATATACCCTGAAACACTGTGCATATATACCCTGATTCAGTGTCCATATATACCCTGTAACACTGTCAATATATACCCTGACACACTGTGCATATACACCCTGAAACACTGTGCATATACACCCTGACACACTGTGCATATACACCCTGACACACTGTCCATATACACCCTGAAACACTGTCCATATACACCCTGACACACTGTCCATATACACCCTGAAACACTGTCCATATACACCCTGATTCAGTGTCCATATATACCCTGTAACACTGTCAATATACACCCTGAAACACTGTGCATATACACCCTGACACACTGTCCATATACACCCTGAAACACTGTCCATATACACCCTGATTCAGTGTCCATATATACCCTGTAACACTGTCAATATATACCCTGACACACTGTGCATATACACCCTGAAACACTGTGCAAAGACACCCTGATTCAGTGTCCATAAACACCCTGAAACACTGTCCATATAAACCCTAATTTACTGTCCATATACAACCTGAAACGCTGTCCATATACACCCTGACACACCATCCATATACACCCTGATTCACTGTCCATATATACCCTGACAAACTGTCCATATGCACCCTGAGAAACTGTCCATATACACCCTGATTCACTGTCCATATCCACCCTGATTCACTGTCCATATCTACCCTGATTCACTGTCCATATACACCCTGGCACACTGTCCATATATACCCTGATTCACTGTGCATATACACCCTGATTCACTGTCCATATATACCCTGATTCACTGTGCATATACACCCTGACACTTATTCCATATACACCCTGACATAATGTCCATATACACCCTGATTCACTGTCCATATATACCCTGATTCACTGTGCATATACACCCTGACACATATTCCATATACACTCTGACATAATGTCCATATACACCCTGATTCACTGTCCATATCCACCCTGATTCACTGTCCATATCCACCCTGATTCACTGTCCATATCCACCCTGATTCACTGTCCATATCCACCCTGATTCACTGTCCATATATACCCTGATTCACTGTCCATATACACACTGATTCACTGTCCATATACACCCTGACACACTGTCCATATCCATCCTGATTCACTGTCCATATACACCCTGGCACACTGTCCATATATACCCTGATTCACTGTCCATATATACCCTGATTCACTGTGCATATACACCCTGACACATATTCCATATACACTCTGACATAATGTCCATATCCACCCTGATTCACTGTCCATATCCACCCTGATTCACTGTCCATATACACCCTGACAAACTGTCCATATGCACCCTGAAACACTGTCCATATATACCCTGCAACACTGTCCATATATACCCTGACACACTGTCCATATATACCCTGAAACACTGTCCATATATACCCTGATTCACTGTCCATATATACCCTGATTCAGTGTCCATATACACCCTGGAACACTGTCCATATATACCCTGAAACACTGTCGATATATACCCTGCAACACTGTCCATATATACCCTAATTCACTGTCCATATACACCCTGACAAACTATCCATATATAACTGATTCAGTATCCATATGCACCCTGACAAACTGTCCATAT